CTCAATAAGCTTATTTACATGTTCGAGTCCAGTTACATCATGTTCATAAGGAAAACACTCAAGATCATACAAGTATAAATGACTGGAGAATAGGACGTTTTTATAACAGTTTTTAAATTAGTTTTTGCAAATAACTGGAGAAAATGAAAGTGAAGTAGTGTTTGTAAAATACAGAAAAACAAAGTAAATGGAGATTACAGGTAGTACATGCCTTTCCCAGCTTATTCAACCCCACATCATAAGGGATGGCCTACCTCAGCGGTCACTTTCCAGAACACATGAGTCTCTGAAACGTTCATTTCGTCGACGCCATACTCTCACTCTCCCATCTGCAACGTGGACAAAAAAAACCGACACTCGTCTGAGAAAACAACGTTCTGCCACTGTGCATATCTCCAATGCTGGTATTGGCGAGCCCATGCTAAGCGAGAGACGACGGTGCCATGGCCTCAAAAGCGGTCTAACATAGGGTCTCCTACAGTGTAGCCGGTGTGCTCTCAAACGTCGACGCACAGTGTTTCCTGAAATTGGCCTGTTGTGAATCCCAATTGTCTGACGGGCTGTAACAGTAGCTGGAAGAAAACAGTTGCGAAGATGTGACGTTACGATGTAACGGTCTTGCCTGTGTGACGTCACTCGTGGCCTGCCATCTCTAGGTCGATCCCTCACCGAACTCGTTTGATTTTGGCGTTCAATCAGTCGGTAAAGTGTCGTACTCCCGTATGTTGTGCAACGTTGACAACACTGGAGCCAGCATCAATCATCCCAAGAACACGTAGACATGCTTCACTGCTCAAACGTGGCATATTGTATTCTGAACCATTCAGAAAAAGAACACAACAGAAACTGCCTTCGCATCTTTTAAAGGGTTCTTTCTCGCGTTTTTCTTGAAGAAAGTGTCGTATCATTAAATTCACGTCCACAACGCGTCAGGGCATGCGTTTATGTGATTCGTTTCTGTTATTTTTTCCCATAAAAATGTTCAATAATTAGATTCAATTGTTACGGCTAATCTGACGTTAAAAGTCTTGTTTCAGAAGTTTAATTTCGAAAATTGGTTTCAAAGAACATTTAACCTGCACAGTCGTTATGATTGTAAAGTAGATAAGACAATTATAAAAATTTCAAAAACAAACATGAATGTCGCGTTTCTTTTGGAACTGTATTTGGAAGTGTATGTTAATATAAAAATCATAATTCATTACATGAATTGATAAAACTATAGTTAAAACCTAATATTGTCTTTTTTATCTGGGCTCATACCATTATTATCAAGGGTACAGCTAATTAAGCCTTATGCAACCAACCATAAAATGTGTTGTTTTAAGCGGCCTGTCTTTTGGGAGGCCTGTCTTATGGGAAGATACCAGTGAAGACGCTCAGGTACCACACCACCAAATTCTAGCATAAAGTAAATTCTCTTCATATACCATACCAGCAAAAGCTAAGCACAAAGTGAACACACGTCAGGTATCGTACCCGAAAACCATTCTCACACTGAGAACACATACGAAGTACTCTAATAATAATAATGATAATAATGTGCCCATTTATATAGCGCCAAACTCCACACCAGGTATGCTCATAGCGCTAACAATCAATAAGGCATTATTGAAGTCCATAGAACTTTTTGTAGAGAAAGGTTTTGAGGTGATGCTAAAAGTTTCCAAGGGTTGGAGACAGCTTAGGTTCATCAGGGAGAGAATTCCAATTAACCAATGCCATGTTCTGGTAAGACTTGTAGCCAAATGATATGAGATTCCACTTTGGTACACAGAGCAGATTAGACGAGGATGAACGCAGAGTTCTTGTTGGCATGTAAGGAGAGAGGAGTTTTTGAAGATACACAGGTGCAATACTATATCAAAATCTGAGGTAAGGCAGGTGTCAACACGATCGAGACACATGCTGTAACGTTCAAACATTCTTGATGTTAACAAACCCCAGAATGACGCACTATTAACTGGCGGAAAAATACATCTGGTTTAAATCATTACATCATATTATTAATAACAAGATGACAAACTATATACACATAAAACCGGCAAAACAGGTATGAGTGACAAAGCGCACCTTTAATAATACCCTACACACCAAAACATACATCAGACAAACATATGTTGGAAACTACCCTTGGAAACAACCTTTCATTGTCATTATCAAACCAACAGAAATACTCATCCGTTCACTCATCCACAGAAACTCATACAATCTACATACACAACAAAATGGTTATACGGAAGAATGAACACAAGTAGTCAAATCCCCTCAGCTTTTTGGCTCTGGGCTTCACATATCGGACGTTTAACACGCCGTGCAGAGTTGTGTCCCTTAGATTACCAGACACGTTTGATGGTGGCTTTGAATCGCAGATTCGCCTTGAGTGTGTCTTTGAAGAACGTCAGAACTGAAGTTGTTGAGTTCTAAGGGGCTGCATACGTTGTGCAGACATACACCCTTACAGAAAAAAGAAAATAGAAGAAACGACAACTGTATTATATTATATATTCAGTCATTGTTTTAGTAGTAAACATAAACAAGTGATTTCTGCAGGTGTATAAGCAATAAATATATAAACGACGAGTTCAAATATTTACGGTTAGTAGCAATAGCTAATTACATAGCTAATAGACATTTACTGTTGTCGCTAACTGTAACGTCATACGCATGATGAAGACATAGATACTACCATTATACCGTTATACCGTTATGCGTCGCCTATGACTACACTTAGTTTTCATTGTACACCTGACGAGCCGTTGAACGGTGAAAGGTCTTGGTGTAGAGAAATAAGTTTTGACAAAAAGAAATATCTGGATTTCTGATATATTATTGTATACCTGACGTGTGTTCACTTTGTGCCCAGCTTTTGCTGGTATGTTATCTGAAGAGTGTTTACTTTATACTCAGGTATCTGAAGTGTATGTATGTATGTATATGTATGCATGTATGCATGTGTGCATGTGTGTGTGTGTGTGCACGTGTGTGCACGTGTGTGTGTGTGTGTGTGCACGTGTGTGTGTGTGTGTGTGTGTGTGTGTGTGTGTGTGTGTGTGTGTGTGTGTGGAAAATTGTCGATACACAAAGACCCATCGGCAATGTTCCATCTATTCGGTGCGAAGAAACAGTTACTATAAATTCTAACATGTGCACGTAAAGAACAAACATTAAAGTATGATGCCAAACACTGTTATGTAACAGTTGTGTCACATATGTTTTCCACACAAAATTCCTTTGTTTAAAATGGATGACATATACCTGATGTCTTTTTTATAATTTACGAAACCACAATATACCTCAGTTGAGTTAAGTTAGTTAAAATGTATCGTCACATCGGCAATACCTCAGTTGAAGTAACTGTTATCTTCAAGTATTATTGCCCATACCGTACGCATGCAGAAGGCGAATGTATATGTGGTCGTGACAATGACAAATAAGGACAAATCTTAGCGTATTGTCATTTCATAAAATATACGAAAAAATCTGTTATATGACATTTATTTTAAACGAGAGTTTAAGTTTGTTGACAGTGTGAACGCACACGAAGTGAAGCAAATATGTACGTCTGACAAAGAGAAATCTCACAACACTCATAATTAAACATCTACAAAAGTAAATAAATCATAATAGCTATAAATATATTTAATGTCAAATGGATTAGGCAGAAGTTAAAACGCCCTTTCCCCAAACCTTTGTACAGATATTGGACACATGTGCAATGACTGAACTGTGAAGAAAAACGCGTGATGCTTCTATTGAAATACTAACGTTAGTAATTAATAAAATTACATAATGTAACTAATGTAAATAACAAAGTGTATATGAAGAAAGGCTGGATCCAGTACATACCTCCCACTGATAAAATATTGTTATAGGGTGCAGTTCTGATGACCTCATAATTAGGGACAAGAATGTCTTAAACGACTGTGAATTATATTAACTCCTCAATCTCCAGATTAGTAGTAACGCGGTGGAAAGTTCTTTTCGGATTTAATATTACATTTAGAACATGACCGTGAAGAAATATTATATTCTTCAAAAAGGTTTTCGCCTAAATAAAGTGTGTCTGAAAAATACGCCATTTCAATAGGCTTGACCTAGGTTGTTAAACATTTTGTGTAGTACACAGTGTTTTAGTCTTTATCTGTTTGAGAGTGTCTCACATCCTATTTCAACATACATATATATATATGAATTATTTAGGAAAACAAATAACCATTTTATTATTTAGCTGCTTCCAGAACCTTTTCAAGTTCACCAGGGTTATCAAGGTAAACTAAACTCTAGCAGTCAATACAGGTATGAAAGTGTTACCAGCAAATAAATTAAACGAGCTGAATTCTTATGATGACCAGCCATGTCGTTTTTGTAAATAAGTAATGGAAAGGGACCCATGACAGAACCAGCTTAGATGAATTTTATAGACAATTGTAAACCAAAAGTCACTGTGACGTAAAGTCGGAATGACGTTACAAATGAGCAGTTAATGATGCTACCATGGGAACCATGGCTGATGGCACTTCACTACTGTACCCGTACTCGATGTCAATGAGTGCAGACAGAAAAACGCGTGTTGACCCTTTGGTTTACTTTTGTGTTTACAATAAGCATCATGTGCTGACCAATTTTCGAGTGTTATTAAGTAACGGTTCCAAATGAATTCCCGTGCTTCAAATAATCAATAACACCCGGAAATTGGCCAACACATGATGTTTATCTCAAAATTACAATTTACAAATACCTTTATTTCCGCCAAGAAATGATTAATTATACAACAATCTTATTATATATTTCAAGTAATTGTGAGACAGAAGAGAGACCTTGAACAAATCGGGATTGGAACTTACAAATGTATATAGAAATTGATTTCTATGAAACATTTTAAATTTGTTCTGCAGACTCCGTTTCTGTATCAAAGCCGAGGTTTATAAACGTAGTTCCCCTCTGAGGTATACTCTCAGTACTTCCCTTCACATGTATGTCCCCAAGGCGCGGGGATTTCACCGGGGTGGGGTGGGAGGGGTGCTGCCTAGAGGCGTCTTGTGGAGAAAGCTTTCTGGAGGCGTCTTGTGGAGAAAGCCTTCTGGAGGCGTCTTTTGGGGAGTGCTGTCTAGAGGCGCCTTGTGGAGAAAGCTTTCTGGAGGCATCTTGTGAGGAGTACTTTCTTGGGGCATCTTGTGAGGAGTGTTTTCCTGTTAATACAGAACACAATATTAGATTATCCCCATGACATCGTTATCGGTAAATATCTTCAGTTATTCTCAATCGGCATGTTATGTTGTATGCAAACTGACTGGTTTGTGTCAGTCGTTTCATTGTTTTACACTGGTAGCTTCGTGTCCCATAGCAACGTGTTGTCATATTTATGCATTGTCGCAAATCGTTAATGGTTTACGGTGTCGCTTGATAAGAGGCCTCAACGCGTGGCCTGAAGACTCCATTATGCAATAAACAATCCGGCCAAGGCTCGAAACTTATTTACCTGGGACAAGTAACAAGTTATTAAATGTAGCCCGTAGGTTATTCTCTAAGAAATAAATTCTTTCCATAATGAGTCAAAACATAGCTTGAACGATGTCGATGTGACAAAATCCTAACACAATCGCTCTTACGATTTAACATTTGGAATCTATAGTTCAGCTTTGTATGGAAATTGGTTTGAATTAAAGTTTGTTGCAAGAATCATGTTTCACTGCTTGTGCACACACGGGTAAGACACCTTCAACAAAGAACCAGATCTGACGATATGTGAGTAACAATGCCACATTGTTTGAATGAAGAATGACTATACGAGTCTTTTGTAATCTGCTTAAATACAAATTGGTAACGCTTGATTTCTTATCAATGAAGCTGGACTAGTTTAGGGTGCTAACGACAAACAATCTGAGATAATTCATTTTAGAACCTCAGCACTACTGCATATACACTTACATGACGTCTATGGTTGACTCCACATCTGAGAGGTCTGAGTATCATCTCCGGCATGCAGGGGAAGAGGCGGTCAAACAGCGGGCAGATCAGGCGAGGGTCCATGGTCTTAGGGTCTCTGCAGCCTATAAGATGCCTACTATTGTCAGACAAGGGGCGGTGGGGTAGCCTAATGGTTAAAGCGTTGGCTCGTCACGCAAAAGGCCTGGGTTCGAATCCCCACATGGGTACAATGTGTGAAGCCTATTTCTGGTGTCCCCTGCCGTGATGTTGCTGGAATATTGCTAAAAGCGGCGTAAAACCAACCTCAATCAATCAGACAAATTTTCTATGTGTATTGTATATCATGATATTGGTTTGAAAGTGTATGCTGATTTTTAACACATTCTTCTAAACAGTACGTTAAATTTTAAGTAAATGGAAGTTGTATTTGAATATTATAAATTTTATTTCAGATACATGGTCAGGGAAGTTAGAAAGATGCTTAAACATACATGAACACATTAACTCATTGTGAGTTAGTGAGTGAGTGATGACGACACAAATAGAAATTGTTATACATGGTTCCATCATTGAAGTAAGACACAACTCACATCATTGAAGTAAGACACAACTCACATGTAATTAGGCTGACAACCATACCGACGATGACCACCACGGCCATTGCCATCGGAGTGTAGTACAGATATGACAATCTGTACAGCGGGAAGAAGAGGTCACTGGAAATTCAGAACATATATTGTTGGTGTAAGTGTTTCATGTGAAGTGATAGCGGCTAAACATAAAGGTTAATGGGGGTTATTTGGTTCCGAAATATCAGGAACCGTTAATATAAGCATATAGTCTTCGATTTAGACACGTCTCACCTGGACCCCGCTGGTTCAACTGAACTTGTAACAATTGTAGCAGCGGTTGACGTAAGAGGCGTCATCGTCGTAGTGACGTTCCAGTTGCATCCGTCAATTGACGTTGGAAGCGGTGTCCTTGTACGCACGGAGTTAACGAACGCACCAAAGCCTACCCAGCACATGAACGCTAACGACGAGAAGCACCCAACAACAGCTCCCTGTAAGTGAGTGAGTGAGTTTAGTTTTACGCCGTTTTTAGCCATATCCCAGCAATATCACGGCGGGGGACACCAGAAATGGGTTTCACACATTGTACCCATGTGGGGAATCGAACCCGGGTCTTCGGCGTGACGAACGCACGCTTTAAACACTAGGCTACCCCACCGCCCCCCTGTAAGTAAACGCATTAAGGTTAGGTTTTATTTCATTGAGAGAACATTTTTGGGTTTTTTTCACGTCGCACTCAGTCACATTCCATCTGTGTGTATACGGCCAAACACGTGTATATACCTATCTTTGATACGGCTTATAAATATTCGAGTCTTGATCAGATAATCCTGTGATTAAAATTATGAAAAGCTACATCGCTGACCTGTCTGATTGTCTGAAACGGAACACTCGATCAATCATCAACAACCAGTGGGTCATGATGTTTCACCATTGTATAGCATAAACACAACGAAAATTAGAAGCCGAAACCACTTTAAGTTTTATATTAAAGTTTTGTAAAAAACAAGAACTTAACACATAAATTCATACCCATGAGTTCGCCCAAGGGAAGAACATTCCCAGCACAAACAGACCAAATGTTGGACCGTTTAGAATACTGTACACTGTGTAAGATGCCTGGAAACAAAGATTCATTGGTTGACAAGAATTATGAATATAAGACTGACTTGCCACTTTACATTAAGCCGTATAATTAAATGGACTCTGAAGAAATAGCTCTGTTTAAAATTATACACGTCCTATGGTATTGGCTGCTTGCACGGTAGTTCTTCCTCAACAATACTGACGTACACGACATCCTAAAAAATAATGATAACAAACAAGAGTCCGTCCTAGTTATGCTAATGTCCTACAGTTGGTTAGCTGGTTTGGTGTTTAATGCCGCATTCAGCAATATTCCAGCTATATGGCAGCGGTCTGTAAATAATCGAGTCTGGACCTGACAGTCCAGTGATCAACAGCATGAGCATCGATGTACACAATCTGGCTACGATGACGTGTTGTCAACCAAGTCAGCGAGCCCAACCATCCGATCCCGTCAGTTGCCTCTTGCAACAAGCATGGCTCACTGAAGACCAGTTCTAACCCAAAGGGCATTTTGGCACTGGTCAGCGTTCAGCATGAATCATCCAATATGCTTGGATAAGCGGGGACCTATAAAGCGGCTGAATTTAGTTAATAACTGATATTTGTTTTATAAACGCCGCACTCAGGCACAGACAGACAGACAGACAGACACAAACAACCGTTAAATGATGACTAAGTTAAGAATTCACAAGCTTCGAGACAATCGTATGCTCGACACATATCGACATAACGCTGTAACAGCTACACAATGTACTTATATAATTCTAAAGCATATTCACCTGCAGCACACTTCCAAGCTGCGACACCACGAAAGCAAGGGCAATTGCCAATAAACCGCAGATAATAACTGAAAATAGATTCTTTGAAATCAGTCCCCTGTCTTCAGTTGTAAATTGTGTGTCATTATGAAACAGCTATGTGTGTATTCTATTTGTAAATTTATGCCATTTACAATGAAACCTTTGATACATCTTCTCACCAATAACCCTGGAGAGAATGGCCATGCCTCTGTCGGAAAGCTTCTTACAACAGAATGGTCTGATGAGGTCGTACGGGATCACTGCCCCGAGTGCGTTCAGACCGGAAGACAATGAGCTGGATTAAAGGTAAATAATTATACTTAATTCTTGACACAAAACGTCATATAACAGGTAATATAAGTACATTGTCTGCGACGTCAGAATACCTACCGTTGTTCTCAAACACCTACCGTTGATGCAGTTTGAAACAGCCAAAAATATTCAATGACAGAAAACATTGTAAGAAAATTGTATCGGGTACTATTCTTTTTATCATTTAATATATGGCACAAAAAATCTATAAATTATGGTGTATTTGTAATGTTCTACTTACTTAAAGAGATTGGTCATAGAAGGGTCATAGAACAAGATACCTACCTGAGACTTCCACTGAAAATACACGAAATGAATATTCCAGGAATTCCTTGAAGATGTCCAAGGATGTCCATCACAAACAGGGGCACCTGTTTTTTAAACATATTTTATTCATGAGAAAAGGATTGGGTACAAGTTATACAACTTAGAACACCCTCTCCGTAGTATTTACATAGTATTATTTACATTCATTCTACAAGATGGACAGAGAAGAACAGAGCAGAAATATGGAAAAAGAGGAACAATTGCAACAATTAAGAAAATCGTTTTGAATGACAAATATATGTTTGAACAATTTTAAATATGTTTTGATTTATGTGAACAGTCAGATCTGCATTGCCATGTAATAGTAACTCATAGGTTATATCCACATTTGTAATACTGCGTAAATTAGTCATCATGATAGTTCTCTGTACTGTATATAATTGACAGTCAAATAAGTAATGATAAGAATTTTCACAAACATTTCCACAAGAACAACTTGGGTTATCTCTTAAACCAGCACGGAATAGATCATAATTCAACTGACTACAGATGTAACGTAGTTTTGTAAGGATGATGTTAGTGATTCTCGGTCCAGAATCAAAGTATTGAGGAGCAGTTTTATGTTTTATAACAATATTCGATATAAAAGAATTCAATGACTCGCTTTTTCTCACTTCAACTGGAAGTTCATTCCACATTCTAATTGTGGATGAAAAATAAGAATCATAGGAAAATTTTAATCGCGAGAAAGGAAGTGAGATATCATCAGAGTTGCGAAGATTATAGCTACATTTAGATGCTACGTCCCCAGGAACAAGATCAATAAGGTACGATGGTGCCATATTATTCTGTATTTTGTAAAAAAAGGCGAAGTTTACGCTTTCTCCTACGTTCTGCTAAAGATTCCCAACCAGTTTCATAATACAGATGTTCATGATGAGTATATTTAGGTAAACCTGTTACAATTCTTGCTGCTTCTAATTGCAGTTGTTCTAATTTATTTGCTTGATATTTAGCACATCCATCCCATACTTCACACGCATATTCAAAATGGGGTCTTATGAACATTACGTAAATTCTATTCAATACAGAGCGTGGTAATAAAAATTTGAGTTTACGTAGAGAAGATATCATTTTTGAAGTTATTTTTACAATATTATCAATATGGTCAGACCATTTACAATCTTTTGAAAATGTTAATCCCAAATGTTTATGATTATTAACTGTTTTGACACAAACCCCGTTAAAGTACAGATTTAGTGCATCAACATTCTTTTGCAAGGAGAAAAAGATTGCCTCAGTTTTATCAGGATTGTATGTTATAAGCCACCGCTTTGCCCAAGCCTGCAGCCTTTCCAAGTTTGAATTCAAATCTCTTTCAATGAATAGACGATCATGAGAAGATGACCCAAGAGACGAATCATCAGCAAATAATCGTGTCAAGCAGTTTAAATCATCAGCAATATCATTGACATAAACAAGAAATAAGAAGGGACCGAGGACTGACCCTTGAGGGACACCAGCTTGTAAATACTCCGGCTTGGATAGGGCTCCATTCACAAAGACGCTTTGTGAACGATTACTTATGTAATCTGCTAGCCAATTTAACAATGAACCATGAATTCCGTATTTTTCTAATTTCAACAATAAACCTTTATGCCACACACGATCAAAAGCTTTAGAGACATCACAGAAAACCATACAATAGTGTTTTTATCATCTAAAGCCGCACAGATTTGGTCATATATTTCAATTAATTGATGGACAGTTGAGTGACCAGACTGAAAACCTGATTGATACTTATACAATAATCGATTTGCATGAAAATAGTTGTACAGACGTTTAAACATCACTCTCTCAAACACCTTGCCCACACAACTGATCAAGGATATAGGCCGATAGTTAGAGGCCATTGAGGGATCACCCTTTTTAAATAGGGGCATTACATTTGCTTCTTTCCACACACTTGGATATATACTACTTTTTAATGACTGATTAAATAACATGCACAGTGGGATACTTATTGAATGTACAACATTTTTAAGAAACTTATGACTGATTCTGTCCGGGCCAGAAGCTTTTTTAAGATGTAAACATTTGATTATATCGGACACTTCATTTACATCAATTGTTACACTATCTAAAACAGAATCAGTGCGTTTGTCAAAGAATGGCATATCTGTGTTTTCTTCATCAATACTAGATATAGACTGAAAATACTGATTAAGTTTCTCTGCTTTCTGCATATCAGTAAATAACGTTGGGTTTTCATCTGCATCATTTTGTCTTAAAGACGGAATGCAAGTGACTGATCCTGAATCATTAATCAAAAACCGAAGTAATTTCCAATAGGAATTTTTTATTACTAGAATACAGATCAAGTAAAAAATCGTTTGTGAGACTGGCATAAAATGAATCCTTTGCATAACAATTCATATTATTTATTTTATTTCTTTGTTTCTTATAAGCCAAAATATGTACTAGACGGTTTGTCTTTTGGGCTTTTTTTCTCATTCTATTTCTTTTTCTACATTCTCTCCGAAGTTCTGAATTAAACCAAGGTTTATCAGTTGGTCGAATGGTGACCGTTCTAGAAGGAATACACACAAATATAAAACGGTTGAGATGCTTATAAAACAGTGGACAGGCTTCATTAACATTCCTGCAACTACTAAATATGTTATACCAATTTGTCTCATTAATCATAGCATTGAGTTTCTCATAGTCACCTCTTTCATAACATAATACGTTTCTTTTGTAGGCTAACCTGGTATTTACATGAGCATCAACGGTGATATACGTACCTTTGTGGTCACTTATACTTTTACATAAATCTACAACACCACTGTCTAAAACATCAACATCTTCAGATATAATGATATGTTCATTTCAGAGACAAGTTGTAAGTCTAAAGCAATGTATCCTCCTATAGAATGTGACCTTGACCTTTTTAGTTTGACCTTGACAACGATATTGCCTACATATATCCGTTAATGTAGTTGGCATTTTCAGAAATGGTTGGTAATTTATTGTACACGTAGCTCCTACCTGATCTGTTTTGCTGATGAGGTTGTTGAACTCGACGGGGTGACAGTCGCTGTAGAAGGCAAACATGACGATGCCGATCATGCAGCAAAGGGTGATAACTGCGATGAGGCCAAACAGATTCAGGATCATTGCACTGTGTAACAGATTAGGTTATACTTCAGCTAATGTACAAGCACACTGTCGTGCAAATAACAGCTTTGGTAAGAAAACTACGTTCTTTGCACACTCTGAAATCATCCGTTGCCGAAAGTAATAAATGTGTCCTCTTACATAAATAGCGAACACGTTGAGACAATAACCATTATAACGTATCCATTATCCATATTTCTGTGTAGCGTTTCCCTATATAGCCATGTGCTCATCCGTCTATGCTCTGTGCCTCGAAGGGCGTAATTGTTGTTATTTTTATTATTACTTGTGGAGTGAGTGAGGTTTTAAGCCGCTTTTTGAAATATATCAGCAATATCACACGGGGCACACCAGAAATGGATTTCACACATTGTACCCAGGGTCCTCTGAGATATGAGCGAATACTCAAAGGAATACAACAACAACTCGATAATTCAATAAAGGTTGTTGATGTTCTTTGTTGTTTAACGCCGCACTCAGTAATATTTAAGCCATATGTGAATATCGATCTGTAAACTAGACTATCCATGAGCATCGATCTACGCAACTGGGAAACGATGACATGTGTTAACCAAGTCAGCGAGCCTGACCACCCGATCCCGTTAGTCGACTCTTGCGACAAGCATGGGTCACTGAAGACAATTCAAACCCGATCTTAACGGGCCGATTCCATAAAGTTAGTCATGTTTTACTCCTACATTTGTGACTTGGAGACAGTCGGACAGGATATGGCTCTCTGTACTTGGGCTTGATTGCAGCCATACAGCGACATCCAGAAGAACGCTCCGCCTATCACAACCGACCAGAAAGAGTGTCGAGTAGTCGGATCGAAGCTGAAACTGTAACAAATGTGACATAGTCATCATTAAGAATTGTCATCCAATGTTGATCTGAGCTAACGTTGCTCGATATTATGATGCACCACATCCGTGAACAAATGTGACAGACATATATTACTGTGACAATATGGGATTCATCTTCTCACATACAAAGGGTCAAGATTTTGATGCTATACACGTCTCACTAACTCACAGTCACCAATCGCTCAAAAATTAACAAAAGATGCCCACTCATGAAAGTAAATCCTGCCACGGCTTCCGGCGATGTCCCAGGCGTTCTGGAAGCCTCCCATGACGATGGAACCCTGGACGAGAACCGCAAACAACCCGGCAAACATGATCAGTGCCTGAATGGTGTCTGTCCACAACACGGCTTTCATACCACCCTGCAAAATAGAGGGGAGGTTGATGAATGCATTAATTATAATTTCCGTTTGTCTCCTTATTGGTATGTGAATACCTAGATGATACTCCTGGGCCCCTTGTTTGTTATATTATTTTAAAGTGTGTCTACTTATTGGTATGTGAATACTTGGATGACACTCCTGGGTCCCTTGTTTGTTATATTATTTTAAAGTGTGTCTACTTATTGGCATGTGAATACTTGGATGATACTCCTGGGCCCCTTGTTTATTATATTATTTTAAAGTGTGTCTACTTATTGGTATGTGAATACTTGGATGATACTCCTGGGTCCCGTGTTTGTTATATTATTTTAAAGTGTGTCTACTTATTGGTATGTGAATACTTGGATGATACTCCTGGGCCCCTGTTTGTTATATTATTTTAAAGTGTGTCTACTTATTGGTATGTGAATACCTGGATGATACTCTTGGGCCCCGTGTTTATTACGAAAGGGTCGTTGTGAAAAAGTGATCTCAAAGCTAACGTGATCGTAACTCCAACATTTTAACATCCTGTCGATAAGCTCGTTTAATACAACGGTACGTGAGTATAAACTGACCGATCACTTATATACGCTTTACTGAATGGGATCTGCTGTGGTATCATAAGCCTATTATTGTCACTTTTGTATTTTTGTTCACAAATAGAGTTGTGGAGACGACAGTGTAAACACTCTATATACTCAAACAGCAAATTCATGTATATAACATATCCATTAACATCCAAGAACATGTACATCTGTGTTCCCTTACTCATACTTTCTGAAGCACAAAAGAAGTAAAAAGACATGCAATTGTCTTGTAAACAATAATTTGTATTAAAAAAGAAAAGGTTTTAATAATTCCGTATATCAGCTTAGTTTCTTTTTTAAATGATCTTCAACCTTTCAAAGAAAACTTGCGTTTTTTCAACCCGTTTCTAAAATACCTGAAGCACACAATATGTAACTGTTTATTAGTTAGTAGTTATTAACCTGCGAGCGCAATAATGAGACATGGTTGATATTTCCTTACACAGTATACGCAGATACTGTTTACTTGTGTCCTAACCATTGTTGTATATAAATACATTGTTTTCTTACCACTGTAGCTTACAGATGTCTTGTTTATTTACCGATGAAGTATACCGACAGAGAGTGTACATATTTACTTACCAATGTAGTATACAGAGTAACAACCCCACCGACTGCAACAACCGATCCCCACAAAGAAAACCCAGTCACTGAAATATAGAGCAGTTAAATTTCATCTATAAGCCAGTAAGTAAGCCTGTATATCTTAATCACGTTTTGACAATGTATTTTATGAAACACAAAGATACATTCTTAAAAATATGGAGACAAAAGGTCCACTCTCTGAGTCTGATTCTCTTAATATTAACTCAAGGGAACATGAAATGCATCGAGATCCTGCTGGGAAAGTTCATGACTGATCGGATTATAGAGTAAACGTTCAACGTTCTTCGTTGGCGTTGTTCAAAACTAGGAGTTGGCATGATGGACAAATGAGATAATTTTATAAGTTCTTTTATTACAATGAATGCAACACGACGGTGAAGATAACACCGCTATATAACTTGTTAATAAAGGTGTCAAATATTTACGAAGCGTCACACTCATTGTAATAAAGAAATGACTGTATGTTTAATATATAATGTTCTCCCTTGTGTTTTACGAACTCTCTGTGGCAGCCTCAATAAACACACCGATGTCCAAAATATACCAATGTTTACGTACGTTCTTATAAACATCCTTACTTCAATAAACTTTTGAATGAACAATGAACTAATTATGACTTTGCACAATCCGTGTCTAATAACCGTTTGACATGTAACTGCAATCATGTTCATGCTGTCTTCCAGTTCAGGCATTGCCACTAACAAGCACCGTCGCATGTGTACGCTGTTTGAGATGGTTTACATAATATAACTTCAGTATCGTATCATATCCTTTGATGTCGTTTTTATTATTTTGTATCCTTTAAGTGTGAGTGCATGCTTGAAACGTACCTTGATTGAGCGCAAGGGAGGGTGCGTACAAAACAAATGACATGTAGACAATCTGAAAAGGAACAGAACCGTTATAATATATATTTCATTATCATAGTGCTCTTAGTTCCAAAAGATTGATGATATATGTAGCCACTTTATGACAATTAAATCAAATGTTGAATAAAGTATGAAACAGACTTTTTCTGATCAATAACGTCAATAATGGGTTTATTGCCTCTGTGGCACTTCCCTATGTGGCCTATGAGATTTTAATCGATCTTGGTCGTTTGGTGTGTCCCTGAGTGGCACTTGTGTGTAGTAAGCCATGGCTGATAAGGTGTTAGGTCATTAACACATGGCTGATAAGGTGTTAGGTCATTAACACGGTATTTGATTGACCTTGAATGGCAAATTGATAGCATTATATGGGAGGTTGTTACAAAAAATACACAAGAACAACATAGAAGAGAAACAAAAGTAAAAGTTTCATACATTTATTTTCTGATGTCATATTGCTATTAACGAACAGATTTCTCTTTTATGGTGTCAGACAATAAACATTTTGTTGTTTACTTACTGTTTGAATGACGAAGATGACAGAGGCGAGAATGCGGACTGGTTTGCTGAATCGTAGCTCTAAATACTACAATTGCAAAACACATACATGAAAGCAAATAATGAAAAATGGAACACGATGAAAAAAAAAATTGAAAGGAAGATCTTAGTCATATGAATATATAATTTACACCTGCCAAAGTGTTCTCATTTATGATCATGTCAATATCAGTTCGTCAAGTGTATAATAACATGTGAGCATTCAAATACTGGATACAAAGTTGACGAAAGAGTCACACAATCTGATGCCCTCTGACGTATCGCTTTGCTCACTGACCATGAAAAGTACAAAATGATTGTCCGTAGCACGCTGATGAATAAAAAGCTTTTTTTCAAAACCACCACTTTATAAAAAGTCTTTTGTGTGATTTAAAAGGTGTTGAATAAATATGTCTTGCGCCTTTGAGCAATTGATTTGTACGATTTCGCATTCAATTCAAGTTATTTAGCATATCGTTCAAAAGAGATACATACAATACGCGAGCATTTGAATTTTGCTTATTGAACTTGCAATACACATATGTCATAAAATGTACTTGTAAGTGATGAAACTTTTATGAGTGAGTGAGTGAGTTTAGTTTTACGCAGCACTCAGCAATATTCCAGCTATATGGCGGCGGTCTGTAAATAATCGAGTCTGGACCAGACAATCCAGTGATCAACAGCATGAGCGTCGATCACCGATGACATGTGTCAACCAAGCCAGCGAGCCTGAACGCCCGATCCCGTTAGTCGCCTCTTACGACAAGCATGGGTTGCTGAAGGTTCATTCTAACCCGGTTCTTCACGGGTCTGAAACTTTTTATGAACAAAACGTGCTAGAAAGTTGACATTCAATGTATATCTTTTCGGTAAGAATTGATTCTGAAAATATTTGTCAATTTAGCTAAATGTACATCTGTATAATATGTTTAAATTATGTTTATTTGTTCCCTCGATCATTGGATGTCAATCTCAAAGTCACATCGTATTATGAATCTCAACTCCCTGGGGAGTATACAACTCTTGCAGCCACTAGGCGCACCGAGTTATTGTGGCTTTCTCATCCTAACGAGGTACCCATTCACAGCTGGGTGGACTGGGACACATAGTCAAAGTACTTTGTCCAAGTTCATTGCACGTTGCTGTACCCGCAATAAGGTGTTTGCACGTATTCATGTGGCCACCATCTGGTCATATACCAACGGATTCGTGGATTTTAAAGTGCGCAGGGTTGTGTACTGTACACTAGGGGGTTGTGACAACACTGAAAGAGTTGTAAGAATTTACACCCGGTCACATGTGGGCTCGATCCCAACACCTCAACCTCGCTGGATCACCAGCCTGGCGCCTTAGCCAGCTCGCCCACCGCGCCATGCATTCATATTGTGCAATGTAAGGTAACAGTTCCCTTGAGACTTACCTCAAACATGCTTGTCAGGTTGAGCTTGTAGAAGAAAGGGATGAAAATCTGGGTAGAAATGACAATGGCAATAATGAATGCCAAACATATCCACCAGAACATTGTTGCATACAAGTATATCTCAGCCGGCGTCCCCAACAACGTCAATGCAGACAGAAACGTTGCCGTTAAAGACATCGCTACGGGCAGAATGTACATTTTTCGCCCTCCCATGAGGTATTCATCGGAGGAAGCTCTCTTTCCGTCTCTGATGGCGTAAAAGAGCCCAATACCAGCCGATGCGACCAAAGTAAGACCGAAAACGACATAGTCAGGGACGGAAAAAGTCTTCTTCTGCCCAGTGTTGATGCTGTAGTCTCCAGACATTGCGAGGAACTGTTTCTCCGTATACGCAGAGGCATGTAGTCCCTGCTACCCAGTCTATCTGTCACGAGTGATCTGGGACAGGCTTATGAATGCTTGCAGCTTTATGTATATACTGTATTTGTAAGAACATGGAGTGTGCACCTGCCTGAATGCCTATTCTACAAAAGTCTTTAGTCTCCGTCGGTAGGTCGACTGCTTGTATACTATCAGAAAACGTCTGTTTATATGGTATTGCACTTGACTTGACACAGTCAGTGTATTCAACGTTGTGTGCTAATTTCCTATTGACCAGAGGACTCGCTTCAAAATTCCAACAGTCGACCTTTCCTATGTTTCGCGCCATATATATCACGTCTGTAAAATAGTCGTGTCTAGACTAGACAACCCAATGATTGGCATGATAAACATCGATCTATGCAATTGGGATTGACACCCATCAGCCACGTCAGCGACTCTGACCATCAGATCCTGTTAGTCGCATCTTACGACAAGCATGGGTTGCTTGATCCCGGATCTTCATTTGTGTTTGGTTCAGATGACATAAAACATGAAAATTCAGTTTAATAATCAGATCCACCTTGATTTGAAATGTATTTCATCCAAAATTGATTCATCATAATAACAATCTATGACTTAGCAGTGGATAGCGTCCTATGCTTGTCCTAAAAGGTCATGTGCACAGCAGCCTATGCATGTCCTAAAAGGTTGCGTACCTGGTAACATATGCTCGGCCTAAAAGGACCACTGCCGAGTAGATTATGCATGCCTTAATATGCTACGTACCTGGTACCATATGCTAAGCCTAAAAGGTCAGGTGCACAGCAGCCTATGCATGTCCTGAAACTCAACATTACCTGGATGTTTGCCATCTTCATCTATTTTCAGCTTAATAGTAACATCCCGTCACTGGTATTCTCACTCGCTCTGCCGGTCGATCAGAACAGTTGTATGGGGGAATTATAGAACCTGTTATGTGATAGTAGAGAGATTGGTATCTCTTTGTCGTGAATTTTCGTATCATCAAGTGACCGAAACACGCGTAAAATATCATTTGTTTTTGTTGCCAGATTGTAACATGAGTGGATATGAGTTAACCCTTGGCTGTTGCCAACACGGACCAGCTTGACTGTTCAAGAAAATTCGAGATGGGTCAGGCTTTAGAAAGGCAGTCTCATGAATATATGAGCAACGCAAGGGCGATTCAGGGACGTTTACTATCCGACTCATATCTTTTCTAGTTTTCAAGAATGGAACATATGCATCTTTGCAGACATTGATAAAGGCACTGACATATTAGTCAGCTTGTTTCACGTTGGTGTTGCAACTCATGTGACCAATTCTTTCGCATTTTGGAATTGAAATCTGAATCTAAGTGTTGATATGAATAGAAAATGCTTTTCAGAAAGTGTCCAAATGTAAGATATGCTGCATTTGGGCAGACACTTTCTTAGCGAATTGCAAATTCTAGTGCCTTTAGGGCTGAGTCTCATTCCTGATTCGAATCCACACTCTCGGAACTAGCTAGGCACAACACACAGATTCAGCGATCCAACCCACTCAGCCACCTACTTTTCAACAAACGACAACTGTGCGTTAAGTCTTCAGCAAACCATGCTTGTCATGAGAGGCGACTAATGGGATCGGGTAGTCAGGCTCGCTGACATCGTTGACACATGTCATCGGTTTCCCAATTGCGCAGATCGACTGTTGATTACTGGATTGTCTGGTCCAAACTCGATTTTTTACAGACCGCCGCCATATAGCTGGAATATTGTTGAGTGCGGCGTAAAACTAAACTCACTCTCTGTAATAATTCATATTTGAGCTCTGTGTATCTCGTGAATCGTATTAATGTTACAAATTGTACATTTGACTGCTTTGACATTCATTAAGAGGTTCGACTGAAAGAAAGATTAAATGTACACAATAAATAATTTTCCAATAAAAATATGTGAAGTGGGATGGTAAAGAGCTTTTCTTCATTTCCAAAAGAAACAATAAAAAATAACAAAAAAAACATGGTGAACAAAGTGGCTTGGTGACTTGTGAGTATGATCATTGAAATCATTTACTTATCGAAGTTTGGTTGGTTGGTTTATTGTTAAACGCAGCTATATTGCAGCTATATGGCGGCGGTCTGTAAATAATCGAGTCTGAACCTGACAATCCAGTGATCAACAGCTTCTTTGACATCATAATTTTAGGATTGTTCTTTATGAGCACATGTTAGACCTCATAGTAGCTGCTTCACGACCCAAATAGCTGGAACACTGCCGATGTGACGTGAGTGAGTGAGTTAATATTGAACGTCACATCGGCAATATTTCAGCCATATCGTGACGAGAACATATTTGACATTGAAATGGATGATGGAACGTGAAGTAATATTTATTCATTCACTATATGTCATATAGTTTTATTAACATAAATACATATTTTCATTTTCTGTAAGGGTGTATGTTTGCGTATTTCCTAACAAAAGTTAAAAAGACCCCTCGACATCAACAACTTTGGTGCTGACGTTCTTCAAAAACATGACTAAGGCGAAACTGCAATTCACAGCCACTAACAAACGTGTCTGGTAATCAAAGGGACACAACTCGGCACGGCGTCTGAAATATATGAAGCCGAGTACCAAAAGTGCTGAAGAATGTTTGAATACGTTTGAAAAGCTACATGTATATGTTCATTCTTGCATATAACCAAATGTATGTTTTATCTCAGTGGGTGTTTCTGTTGGTTTGATAATGACAATAAAAGCATGTTGCCAGTGCATATAGATTAAGGCATTGTGCAGACCGTTTCCACCAGATGGTAAATCTGATCTGTGTTTTGATTTTTAGGGTTTTGTTATAGATGCTCTTTGTGACGCTACCTGTTCACTTTGTGAAAGGTTTAGGTGGTATGATATCTGAAGTGTATTCATTTTGTGTCAAGGTTTTGGTGGTATGGTATCTGAAGTGTATTCATTTTGTGTCAAGGTTTTGGTGGTATGGTATCTGAAGTGTATTCATTTTGTGTCAAGGTTTTGGTGGTATGGTATCTGAAGTGTATTCATTTTGTGTCAAGGTTTTGGTGGTATGGTATCTGAAGAGTGTTCATTTTGTGTCAAGGTTTTGGTGGTATGGTATCTGAAGTGTATTCATTTTGTGTCAAGGTTTTGGTGGTATGGTATCTGAAGTGTGTTCATTTGGTGCCCAGGTTTTGTTGGTACGATATCTGAAGTGTGTCCACTTTATCCCCAGGTTCTTGTAATGTGGTACCAAAGCGTGTTCATTTTGTGCCCATATTTTGCCTGAAGCGTGTTTACTTTATGCCCCCAAGTTTTGCTTAGCAAGGATCCCAAAGTGTTTTCACTCTGAGCTGTGGTTTGTAACCATTGCGGAATTAACATATTTTGGCAGTTGACAGGTTTCAAAGGAACGTGAATTCCATATCTATCAATTTCATTCGACACAGGACTATTTTATACGTTTCGATTCCAAACATTGAAACCGCTGGGAGATATCTCTTTACCGGTCTTAACACAAATCCATTAAATTATTGAAATCGCCTAAATCTTTGCGTATTGCCCCGCATTGATATTTCATAAATAGTCATGTAATTATACGTAAGAAGCCATATTACTCCCAAAGAAAGTGCATTCGAATACATCAAAGGCCTTTACCTTGACAGGAGCAGTAACAGCCTTCGAATTGGTACACTGTCATAGTAGAACATGTCTTATACACAAGCACTCGCCGTGACCGGGGAAGATTCACAAAGACCGAGTGAACTGAGTGGGAAAGAGAGAGAGCTGGGAGGCGTAAACTGGTTCTAGGGGCTCATTTGAGGAACCAGCGTGGACAACACTGACCTTCCATCATGTCTGGGGACTACAGCATCTACACTGGACAGAAGAAGACCTTCACTATCCCTGACTATGTCCTTTTCAGTCTTACTTTGGCGGTATCGGCCGGGATCGGACTCTTCTATGCCATCAAAGACAGAAACAAAGTTAATTCTCGGGATTACCTTTTGGGAGGTAAAGATATGTACGTCTTTCCCGTGGCGATGTCGATGCTGGTGACGTTTCTCTCTGCACTGACGTTGCTGGGGACGCCGGCTGAGATGTACAACTACACGACGATGTTTTGGTGGTTATGCCTTGCATTTGTTTTTTCAACGGGAATTGCCTCAGTAGTGTTCATTCCATTCTTCTATAATCTCAACGTAACAAGTGTATTTCAGGTGAGTTTTCGATCCAGTAATTCCTTAAATGACAAGGTAGCATAGGCAGAGACTATTCATGGTTTACGTTACTTTAAAGAGAAACTAGTTTGGCCCTAGTGTGAGCCCACGTTTATCTGTTCCTCCTATTTAACGAAAATAGAAAACCGGGCCACTTTATGAATTCATAATTATCTCACCTGGTATTTATTATCTAAAAGGAATATTCCTGCTTTACATTAGCTATTGTATTTATAAAATTCTTAGAGTGTATACTTTGTGAGAAGGTTAACAGGTTAACAGGTACCAAATTGTGAAATCTGTACATAGATTGTATAGATTTTGAATTCAACAATCCATGCTTATCATACGGTGATTGACGGGAATAGGAATGTTTGACTCGCTGACTTTGTTGATGCAGGTCAGCGTGTGCCAATAATGCGTACACCAATGCTCATAATTGCAGTCACTGGATTGTCCGGTCCGATTCAGGTTTTTTCAGACCGCTGTCATACAGCTGGAACATTGAGTGCAGCATTAAAGAAAAAACATAAAAAACAAGCTATATATAAAATTTACATGGCTATGAACCTAAACATAATGTAAAAACTACACACGCCGATCCTCTCCTCGGGTAAGGTACGTCGACTGACACAAGCGCGTACTTTACTGATCTAACGTCTTTCATGTAACTGTCTGTTTTCGTGGCAATCATAATACATAGTTCAACAGCACATGCACAACACAATACATCTCAAGATGTAATTGTAGATACAGGTTGATGAGACGTCATTTCGTAACACAAATAGGCGGTAGATTACATGCTGGCTGAAGAGTGAGTGAGTGAGTTTAGTTTTACGCAGCACTCAGCAATATTCCAGCTATATGGCGGCGGTCTGTAAATAATCGAGTCTGGACCAGACAATCCAGTGACCAACAGCATGAGCATCGATCTGCGCAATTGGGAACCAATCACATGTGTCAACCAAGCCAGCGAGCCTGACCACCAGATCCCGTTAGTCGCCTCTTACGACAAGCATGGGTTACTGAAGGTTCATTCTAACCCAGACATTCACGGGTCTGCTGGCTGAAGAATTACCACGTGATTTTCTTCTGTGTTTTCAGTATCTTGAGCTGCGTTTCAGCAAGCCTGTCCGTGTTCTCGCCTCCGTGATCTACATTCTGCAAACTGTAAGTCCACAGTGTGACACAAAGTGACAGGATGTATCGGTAATGTGTTGGTGTACAGTTTACTGTGTGCATGTACATCACCTTCTGGACATTTTGTCGCTGATCCAGGACATCACAGCTCCATTCCATCGTGATAAAATAACGTGAGAAAGAAAGTTTGCTCTCATAAACTGGACTCGATAAAAGAGATTTCCAAATGTTATCAAAACGTTGCTAGGCACCATGCAGTTGCAGAAACAGTGCAACCTGAAGTTCCTTAAGTACCTGTGACACCCGTATCAAACACAACACAGTCGAATATCTATTTCTTGTTTGTTTCAAGCCACTATCAAACATGTTTTTTTAACGTGGGTAATACGTGAAATCTTAAACGAGATTCTTAAGATATGTTTGACACTTATGTGAACATAAAGATTTCTTCATTATCACGCGTACGTCACGTCTTAAAATGACAATTGCCATTTCTCGTGTTACGTCATTCCAGCATGACGTCAGAGAAAGATTTGAATGACCTCAAGAATGTATTTGTACTATGTAATGTCGTGTTTTATTGGAATTTTAGAAATTGATCAATCTTAAGAAAGGTATGCTACTTTATGGGTAACAACTTCTATATTGATATATTATGATGCGACGTTTCGGTATAGATTCTTATACCGTTGTCAACCGTTGTCACTCTTGCTTGACAACGGTATACGAATCTGTACCGAAACGTCGCATCATAATATAATAAAGAAGTTGCTACCCATAAAGTATCTTACCTTACTCCCGATGTAATGTTTCCGTTTTCTTTCTACATGATTGAGTTAATATTATTTCAGTATGATTATATTTACAGAGTGTGTATATGTCGTTCGTCCTCTACGCTCCTTCCCTGGCTCTGAATGCGGGTATGTCTTTGACTACAAAAGGGCTCGTAAAAATAATTTAATGTGAACATATTAACTTGAAAATATAACACCATTTAAACGATCATTTTTTGCTTAAAAGAGACTTTGCTACTGATGTCTGTTGAAAGTGATAACATTAACAAAATTGAATAAACTAGTCTGTGCGATTCTACAGAAGGACATTCGCTAATAATACACCTTTTGGAACATATTTGTTGAAGCTGTGTTGGTTTTCTTAAAGTGACCGGACTTGATTTATGGGGATCTCTGATTGCTGCTGGAGTCATTGTGACCCTGTACACAGCTCTGGTAAGTCGCGCTTTGTTTGCGTTGTTGACCAATTGACAGCTGTATTTACGGGTGATGCATGAGATGTACCGAGTATGTCTTTCACAATGACCAGCAACCCTTAATCAGCTTGCATGGCCCTATGCGATATACCGTGAGAACCATTACAGTTCACATTGGAAGAGTGACTTTGGTCTTTCAGTTAAATCACATCACGTTAGATTAACGAGGCAGGATGGGAGCTGAGTAGTTTAGTGATTAAAGTGTTCACTCCTCACACTGAAAGCCGAGACTCGATTCCCTCTTTGGCACAATGAATGAAGTATATGTTTGTTATACCTTGCCATGATGTTGAGGAGTAATAGTAGTGGTAGAAAACAGTAAAATCCTTCCTGTCTATGAGTGGTTCGCTTGTGTCGCAGCAAACTCGACTTGTGAGCAAATTCTTGATCTCACTTATTGCAGTTGTAAGACGTACGGGATTTCTTTAGCATTGGACTCCCACTACTAGTAATGTCCACAGCAACAGGTCCATAGGTGGACGGATGACTGTGTTCAGACTGTTATGGGCTTGGTCTTATCTCAAACGGAAACACATGCTGGCTGGGGGTTGTATGTATGTATGTATGTATGTATGTATGTATGTATGTATGTATGTATGTATGTATGTATGTATGCATGTATGCATGTATGCATGTATGCATGCATGTATGCATGTATGCATGTGTGTATGCATGCATGTATGTATGTATCACACTCCGTGTGGAAGGAAAAACTTGAATGATGTGGGTCCGATATGTTTACCAACACCGGTAAAATGCCGACCGGCAACATCCATCAACGCCTGCTACAGCTCTGTATCCATACCGTCTACCATTTCTGTGTTCCAGGGGGGAATGAAGGCTGTGTTGTGGACTGACACCTTCCAGGCTTTTGTCATTTTGGCGGGGCTGATGGCGGTTCTCATCCAGGGTTCCATCGTCATGGGTGGCTTCCAGAACGCCTGGGACATCGCCGGGAACAGATCAAGGATCTACTTCAACGAGTACTTGTAGTTCCTTTCACATTATTCATCATAATGTTTATATAATAATTACAGGGAGTCAAGTCATTCATCATTCATTCTTTCGTACGTTGAACCCAGTGTATTGTCTTTGTTTCAGCTTCAGCTTTGACCCCACAACCCGCCACTCCTTCTGGTCGGTTGTGGTGGGAGGAGCCTTCTTGTGGTTGTCACTGTATGGCGTTAACCAGGCTCAGGTCCAGAGAGCCATGTCTTGTCCATCTGTATTTAAAGCCAAGCTGTGAGTATGCAGAAATATATCATATAATATGGATTTATTATCTTGTAATTGAGATGGCACCCAAATACGAAATCAAAATTGTTCACCAAAATTTCAGTAACATATCATACAAAGTGTCATGAACATTATTTTGGACACTGATGCGTATAATTTGGAAATGTCCTGGCAAAACGTTTTGACCAGGACAGAAGTAGCCCCAATAAAACAACATTCATTTATTATTGTATGACGCTGAGAAGTATGAAAGATTGTATTGCAAAGTTATGGAATGTGGACACCAAATGCAGGAACTGCTGGAATACTGCTCGACACACAGATAATGTTTTAAGGGTATTTAGCGTAATATAACCATATTTCCATTGACCAAATACGTAAACATTTATGAAGGAATTGGTTTCAAAATAATATATGTATCATATGAAATCTGAAAATGTACACATGCACATTCTTCAGAAATTTCAGTGAATGCAACGTGTTTAAGATATGTTGGCATGTTTGTAAAAACATCAAATACCTTTTGAAAATCATAGGACATGTTTGCTTCGTATGTTGTTTATGGCCCTCAGTTTCCATTGCTTTCTAAGGATATACCTCATAAACCTGCCTGGCCTCATCCTCATCGTCAGCCTTTGCTGCATGATCGGCATCGTCATGTACGCCTTCTACGCCGACTGCCACCCCATCAAGTTCAACAGCCTCATCAGCAGATCAGATCAGGTATTGTAAGAGTGCCGTGAAAACAGACTCAGTGCATTCACACATGAATCTATATTTCAGCACATACACAGGTACTATGTCATAAGATGAGTGTACAAGCAACAAATAATAGCAAAAATAATTAGGTCTCCAAATTGAAGTATTTCTTGTTTCGACTTGGTCTTGGCTATGTATGGGCGTCACAAACAGTGAGTAGTAAAACATCCTTTGTAGGGGAACCTATGGCAAGATGAAAATATTCGTTTGAACAGGACAGGTACTCCTAACTTTTCAGCACTAACCTAAAATTATACTTCCTTTACCAAATTATACCTCAAACAATTACCAATTGCACAATTCACCATGATCACTGCGTAAGTTTGCTGCAGTTCCCATGGTCTAAAACTAGAAACAGGGAGATCGTTTAATATTCCGACAGATACAAGGCCGTGCTCTCTGTGGAAGGAAGGCTACATCGAAGATGATACCATTTTCTAAATTTATATCATACCCTACACGTAACAAATGCAATTATAGTTTGGCATCAACGAACGTGAATGTCTACGGTAGCCTGGCTATATATATATGATATATTATTTAATGTATGCAAATTGCTTTATGAGGAGGACTCACATTCTCTCTCTCTCTCTCTCTCTCTCTCTCTCTCTCTCTCTCTCTCTCTCTCTCTCTCTCTCTCTCTCTCTTTATATATATATATATATCACATACACATACATTATTCATGAATAAAGATCTAACTACTATGTCAACTCTGTATTTCGACACGCTAGTATTGTGTCAGATCTGTCATTCCGGTTTCTGTAAAATGGCAAGCTCTAAGTAGCACTTGGGTTGTTATTATTCGAGGTTAACGAGATTCGGGCACATTTGAAACCCGCAAGTGTCAACGCTTTCCTGTCAATGATCAACAAATAGTGATAATGCCCTTAGTCAGAAACACGCGAAGACAACCAGAAGCTGTGTCTTGGGAACCGTCAACGATAACGTTATTCAATGGTTATGTAAATTTCTGAAAGGTACCACTGTGTTCTTTTGGATACTTTCAGTCACTTGGTACAGCACAGGTTAAATGTTAATAAAATATCCATAACCCAGTTACAATCAGCCAGAGAGACATTTATCTGGCTTTGATTCACAGGTGGACGTGACTTGTAATCATATTTCACTAGCTTATCATTCAGATTTGGCATGTCAGTGACGTTATTCATACGGTCGACACAAACCTGAAGAACCGTTATTCATCATGATAGACCAACATGTTGACAGGTTGTACTCGATCGCCGGAACACATTCAATTTATATATCAAGAATTGAAATATTCAACGTCAACGCCAAAGAAAAATCAATTTCAATGATCTTCCTGACCTGGCATAATAGCCAGGTGAAATCCTATGAATGGATCACTGAATGAAAGGGTATATTCATAATCAAAAGACAACACACAAAGTGTATATTATTTAAATGTACATAGGCATTAAATTAGATTACGTTGGTATTAAATTACAAGAGCATAAAAGGACAAAATATTTAAATAGAGATGATAAATTATGAATAAATATTTTCTTTCTTGATTGTATTATTTGCACATTCAGCTCCTGCCCTTGTATGTGATGGATATCTTAGGCCATATTCCCGGAATACCAGGAGTGTTTGTGTCGTGTATCTTCAGCGGGAGTTTAAGGTAAATCGCCGTTTTAGCACTTTTCACAAGGTATAGTATAATAATTGCATTACTACGTATTTCAAGATAAAGCCACGAGCGACCAAGTCATCTGAGGAAAGGCAAATCGCTTTGAATAGATGGGTCCCTGTTTCTGTGTGGGATTGAGATGTGTGCGGATTGGATGAGGCGGTGGTGGTGTGGGTTTAAGCACCTTTCTGGGGTTTCCTGAGCATGAATCCGACACGCCTTGCTAATATATATTCTTCAAAGCGCCGTTGAAACTAACTCACAAACGTAATTGTCTTCAGCAAAACATCCACTGTGCCGTGCCTGGTCACAATTTCCACAGTACGTTATGCAGTATATTCATTGCTTAGAGTCATGTGACCATGCTAATTTTTCATTGATTAACCAACGTTCAAAATGCCCAATATACAAGACTGGAAGAACAGTATTTCACTGCAAGGGTTCAACTTTTTATAGAGGAGAAAAGGAGGTAATTCGAAAAGTTTTGATTACTATTATTGTCGACCGCCTCCGTGGTGTAGTGGTTAGAGCGTCCGCCCGGAGAGCGGAAGGTCGCGGGTTCGATCCCCGACCGCGTCATACCAAAAGACGTTAAAATATGGTACTTGTTGGTTCCTACCTGGCGCTCGGTATTAATGGGTACAACAAGGACTGGTCGGAGTCAGTATAATGTGTCTGAGTGGGGTATTCATGCTTGAGTGCTGCAGGGTATCTCAGTGGGCTAGCACTATAAAACCACTATTAAAGTCTGGGCTAGTATATAAGCAGCCGCACATACACATACACACGCATGCACGTCGTCATATGAGCGAAATATTCTCAAGCACGACGTTACACCCAATTTCACCTCACCTCAATATTATTGTCGTTTACCATTAATTCAACATTATCAAATTAGCATCTGACAAAGGTTCAACAGATGCCTTTGAAATTTTAATCATTAAATTTCTTACATGTGTCATTATATCTCCCTCTTCCCTTCTTCAGCACCATATCCTCCTCCTTGAACGCCCTGGGAGCCATCATCCCCTGCGACATCATCAAACCATACTGCTGCCCAAACCTTTCTGATAGGTCCATGACCATTCTTTCAAAGGTTATAGGTAAGGAGGAAAAGACATTTGGCTTGAAGTTCCTCTAAGGCATGTTGTCCCTATGTATCTGGAAACAACTAACCTTGCTATTGCATTTCTAAAGCCGTTCTGTATGTTCATTTCACATGTCTTTTTTGCATTTCCTCAGTCACAAGTAGTGGAAATAAAGTAAAAGCTCCACATAAAGTTGCCACAGTAACGCAACATCGGAACACGCCCAATGAAAGTAAAAGGAGTAGAATTTACACTAGCCAGATCACAGAAGGACATCCATAGAATAACGTCCCTTGAAACCGCGTTTTGATGGTTGTAACAGCTGAATTATAATCATTTTGAAAAACGTGTCTAGTGTCCACCTCGAAGATATGTTTGAAATATTTTTGTGAGTAAAACCATCCTAAATCTCTGACTATCGTTCACGAAAGCTAGTTCGATCAGGTTACCTACAAGTACGCTTGTGATTTAGGAAAGTGTGTAGATTACAATGTGGTTTCTTATGTACCCTATCTAATATGTACTAATGTGTATGTTTGTAGTTTTCATATTTGGGGGAGTTGCTATCGGCCTCGCCGTCCTCGCATCTCAACTTGGGTCTCTGATGCAGGTATTTCCACGAATCACAGAGTGCCAATTTTAACTGCAAGTCAAAAGTGTTAGAGAAACGAAATCATTGTTATAAGACAGATGCCTCTGCCTGTACATGTCCAGAAAAAATCCGGAAGATTCACTGTCAGAGCTGATCAACAATATATCTTGTGTTTGGGACTGGTATGAACTTTTACATCATTTAAGGCAATAATTCAAATGATTTCTATACCCGCGGACCTGTAAATGAATAGGTCTGGGCATTCAAATCAGTGACTGAAAGCATGGGCGACGATAGACAGCCATGTTAAACATGTCTGTTGAATGTGTGTCACTGTTCTTCCCATGACCAGGGGCGCTGGGGGTAACTCGGCGGTTAAAGGGTTCACTTGTGTGAAGCCCATTTCTGGTGTACACCGCCGTGATATTGCTGGAATATTGCTGAAAGTGGCGTAAAACTAAACTCACTCACTCACACACTCATAAGCCCACTTATCTGTACCTGACTGTATAATAATACTAACTAACGTGAACCTGCATATCTCCGCCCTAAATGAATGTCCTAAGAAACCTCTTTTGGAACTGGTACGAGCTACCAATGTCACTATGGTACCCAGTATTCCTGAAATGGGAAACATACATTTGGAAACAGTTGAACCTACGTATAGGAAGCTGTTCGTGTAAAAAAAGTACACTCTTCAAAATTAGGGAACGCATAGGCTAACCCTTCCCTAGAAATATTGAATTTAAAGTAGTTACCATGAGCTGTTACCTCTGATTATTTTCGTCCAATTGGTTGAGACTGAATATGTCTTGGGATTCTTCCTGTGGATATCTTTTCATACTTCCTGAACGCGCTGGTCAGTGTATGTAGCTTATGTTGACGTTGACGTACACATTGATCCCACAAATGCAGGGTTCAGATCCGGGGATCTCTTGTGACATGGCATTACACTGAGGTTTGAATTATGAAAGAAGACAAGAGTGAGACAAGATGTGTGTGGTGTAGCGTTGTCATGTTGAAATGACCCCCTTTGTTGATAATCAGAAGAAAGTGACGATTTGCAGTCAGATTCCCCTGAACCACCAAGTCAGATCTCCTGTTGTAGGATTTGGTCCCCGCAACATGACAGTTCTGGACACAGCTGTGGAAAAAAGTTCATTTAACGTCGGCAGCGAATAACATATCATGATTCATCACAAAACGAACTCGTCGCCAGTTTCCGGGTCCATCCCAATGCTCCATTGCATACGTTGTCTTGGATTCCAACATTGCAGTACAGAAACAGATACGGGTGCTCTAAATCTTCTTCCCATCTCTTCCAGACGATTCCTGATTGGATGGGACCAAATATGTAATTGCAACCTCGGTGGTAGAATAAAACCCAGAAAAGCATGGGTGGTGACTCTTGGAAAACCCTTCTCGTCTATTCTGGGTTTAATTGTGGCGGGTGTAGCAATCCGATAACCCGATATATTGTTCTCTGTTGTTCAGAAAATGAGGTGCAACTGCAGTCCTGGACTTGGCATCGTTCAGTCACAAATGTTCAATTTGTATTGAATGATTCATGACGAAAAGCAACATTCTCATTATCTACTATGCGTTTCCTTTTTTGAATAGTGTATCTGTAATCATATAATTGAAACATCGGGTGTGAAACTGTTAGATTCATGTATATAGTAATATGTAGCGTCCTCTGATTGTCTTTAACATACCAAAGCGTTAATGTTAAAACCATGATAAATATTTTTGAAATAAATATCAGGCAGGAACGAACAATGGTTAAAACACTTTAAAATCCAACCATATAATCTATCCATATTCAACACTATATGTTCGTCTACAAACAGGCTTCCTACAGTGTGTGTAGCACAATCAATGGACCGTTGTTTGGGTTGTTCGTGCTGGGCATGTTCTTCCCTTGGGCAAACGCATGGGTAAGTATTGCCACAGATTGAGCCCATATAAAGGATCTGAACGATTATTTAAAGCTGAAGTTAAAATTTTTTTTTTTTCATCTGTCTTAGAATATTGTGTCATATAAAGTTCTCGGCCTGTCTTTAGAATACCGCACCACAAACTGTAATAATACGTCATAATACCCTTTTACGTAATTTTATGTAATTTTGTTCCAAAACACGCTCAGGAAACAATGCACTATGACGCCGGCATAGCAACACGGTTGCATAGCTTAGCGAGTGCGTATAAGCTCCGCTCACTGATGTTTCATCTCAACTAGTTATGCCCAACGATGTTGAGAGTTTCCAGTAGTTGTTTACCTGCGGATGTGCAATGTTTCGCAAGCACCAGTTTAAAATATTTTTTTTCTTTTTTCACTTATACGCTCATATTTTGTTTGTATTAAGAGGTGCTGAGGTGTTATATGTTGTGTATTTTTGTATTTTGTATTTGTTTAATTTTGCAGGAATGCGTTACATCGATCACACTCTGCCATATTCTATTATTCGCGGTTTTGTTCAATTTAATTGTTTAAATATATTTTATATTTCGGTTTAAACGAAACTCTTAGGACTAACTGAATTATAAATGAGAACTAATATGCAAATATATTTTGTTTCATTCAGTAATTTGCATTATTACACAGAATTGGAGTTTATTAGTATTATATTTTAATATTATTTGTAAGAATGCATTACACTGGACACAAAAGCAATTTTCGTGCCGGTTCGGTCAATGTATTCTATTTATAATGATTATTTCAAGGGGCTAGGGCTAGGTATAGGGTTAGGGTTAGAGTAAGGGACCCAATATAGTAGGTAGATGTCCTGTGTAATGCATGAGTGCCATTTGTTGTTTTTCCCTTTTGCATTTTTAATACTTTTTTTTACACAAAAACGGGAGACCAAAAACTTCGAAAGTACACGATGAAATTGTGTCATGTAGACATTTTGGGCTAATGGAAATTGGCCTGGCACTTGCACTCAAGCCACTTTCACACGCAACATTTGTTCAGTAATGATTCGAAGGCTAATTCACCCTCGTGCCGTTACTAGACATGCTCATGTTTCCCTCGTTCCTTAATGCGACCCACATTATCCTTACAGTGTTCCCCACAACACTTTTCTGTCACAAAATCACCCGACCTTTTCAATCTTTTCAGGGAGCATTTTTTGGTGCTCTGACCTCCTTAGCCTTCATGAGCTGGATCAGTTTCGGTGCATTCGCCAACAAGGTTTCCAATAACAAACTGTCCCCTGTCTTTACTCACGGCTGCAACTGGTCCGTCACGACGACAGCAATGACAACAACAACAACACTTGGGACTACAACGGCATCTTTTACAGGCTCCTCCGTAATGACTACGGTTGCAGCGTCAAGGTATACAAAATAGAATCTTTCTCTGATATCTGGAACATTGTCTAACACGTGTAAATGTACTCATTCACACCAACATCCAACCTACTCACTCAGACGATTTTTGTTGGGAATGGTAAATCTGCAGTCAGGGTTTTGTGACGGTATTACTTTCTATAAATTCGTGCAGCCTATCAGCTGTCGTAGGTCAATCAAATTCGGCTACGTCATATATGCGCAATCGTTTCACGACTGCAACGTCAACCAGTAACCCATTGTTTACGAAACCGATTGTGCGCTGCCCATCTTTGTGCCCGGAGTCCTTATGTTGGGCCATTTCTGACACAGGTGAACTCACAGGGGGTAAGCTCAGAGACAAGTCGATTTCATAAGCATTTACTACTTGGAAATCTTACAAAGTTTGGGACTCATTCTCTATCGGGATCGACTGTCTATCCGGCAAATGGTAGTTGATGACGACCAACTTCCGTTTTAGCATGCACAGGGCATACTCTTTGCGGAACTGTAATGAGCTTCTCTGCAGGGTATAATTACACCTGCAAATGGCTAAGTTTCCTGCAAAATGCGGGCATTGGCTTCATCGAGTGGTACTCGAGGACACCTGACCTCAATCCCATCAAACACGTATGGGATGCTCGGGGCAGAACTCTTCGTGCCTTGTTTTATATGGGACATAAAGAAACACATCTGAAATTTCGTTATTGGTTTAGTGTACCATGTATTACTCTTGGAACAGTGTTACACAATAAACATCACTGCCACTTAACAATGGTGATCAGTTCATACCCGTATATTTATGGGTTGAAGCAGTCCATTCAAACCGATGTGTATATACTTTCAAGAACTCCCGTTGATACTCATGTGTTCATGCTTGTCCGTCATGTCTTAGAACTACTGTATGGCTGCTACCAAATGTCCCTTCACACCCATGTATTCTTACTTTCCAGCAACTAATGTACATGTATTCCCACATTCCAGTGATCCGTTCATACCGATGTACAAGCTGTCCTATCTCTTCTACACGCCCACGGCGATGGCAGTCCTCGTCATTGTGGGAATGCTCGTCAGCCTCATCACTGGTTTGTTTCAAAAGTTATACGCTGGTTGATGGCAGGGTAAGGGTGTAGCAAAGGAGGGGGCACGTCCGCTCAGTGTTATGTGCTGTGCGGGGGTTATCCGATTTGGAGAGGACAGCGTAATGGTTTGGAGATCAGTCTGTGCTATCGATCGATTTCAATGGAATCTTACAGAATCGGGACCAAGTTGGGACCATAATTATATTGCCATTCATTCAGTTACATGAACCTGGACTGACATTTCAACATGATAATACTATACCCAATACTGCAGTCCTGATGCACAACATCTTCTGTAACAATTGTGTTGATGTCATGGACTGGCCTTCCCGTTCCTTAGACTTAAATACCCTTGAAGGTCCGGGTTAGAATATCGATCTTCAGTAACCCATGCTTGTCGAAAGAGGCGATTAAAGGGATTAGGTGGTCAGGCTCGCTGCCTAGTTGACACTTGTCATCAGTTCCCAATTGCACAGATTGATGCTCATCATGTTGATCACTAGATTGTCTGGTCCAGACTCGATTATTTACAGACCGCCGCCATATAGCTGGAATATTGCTGAGTGCGGCGTAAACCTAAACTCACTCACTCACTTAGACTTAAACCTGATCGAATACATCAGGGAGAAACTGGGAAGAAGAGTGCATCCCAATTATTTCATAACAGACACGAGAATTTAAGTAAACATAATTCATGATATCACCTTGCTCCATGTTTAAGGTTTGCGACGCCCGGACAGCATTGACCCCCGCCTGATCTGCCCCCTGTTTGACCGCCTCTTCCCGTTCTTGCCGGAGGTTATACTCAGACCTCTCAGGTGTGGAGTCAACCATAATAGGGTAGGTCATTTATCCCAATAAAACCTTTGCAGTCATTAAGTCATTTTGGGCGTTTTGAGTATTGATGAAATTTCAAGTATTTCCTCGTTGCTACGAATATTTTCTCCTTAAAGTTTCTGGAAATACATCCCACTAACTTTCGATTATTTTCTGGTTGCATCGATCATTTACTAGTTATTTTACGTTTCCTTACATTTTTGGACATTTCAAATATTGTCTCGTTGGTTCGATTATTTTCTCGTTACATCAAGTGTTTTTACGAAATCGAATTTACGAAAGATAATGGGTGCAACCAGAAAATTGAATGTTTTTAAAGGAAGACATGTTTTTTCGATTCAACATTCGCTCTCATTATGTATCTATCTTCATCATACCAGTGTTAATCAGTTGGGGTTTTTGAACTTACCGAAATGCAGTCACTCGCTCGCTCTTCAATCAGACCAACTGCTGTCACCGCTTCGTCGTCGCACGCCCAACGCTGACGTCTAGCTGTTTCGGTCAATGACTAGGTGTTGCGTCCAATAAGGTCTCCTTGTCGAAGATCGCTTTGTGAAATCGGGGCCGGTATGAGAAGAAATAGCCTCCAGTAAATCCACTTTCTTCGCAATGCCATCACTGTTTCGATTGACTGTACAAGTCGTTTGACCTACATGTCGTATGTTGTCACTGTTTCTCTCCTGACAATTTTGTGTGCTCTGAACAGGTAGTACGCATTGTTCGATATATATGCGTTGGAAGTCGAACATATTTCTTGTTATTATCATGATTGACTTTATAAGTTTCAACAGCATCATGAAGTCGTCGGTCTGTCCTGGGATAACTGACTACGACACTGCTTCATCGAGGCTACAAGATGGCATTGTGTATTCATATCTTCAGCCATGACAGTCGTACCAAATTACACTTGTCTGAAGGTTACATACATTACGTGACCTAAACTACGAGTTGTCAGACTTCCATTTTGTGGTGGCTGAGTGAGTTAGATCGCTTGCTTTTTGTACTGGCGATGTGGTGTCTACTCCGAGTGTGGCGTTCGAATCCGAGATATGACTCAACCCAATAAAGCACAATTGCACATTACTGAGAAAGACTTAATGTATTCGCAAATACACACGTTACGTTTGACGAGTATTCGTGTCAAGTTCTATATTCCGAACATTTTCGATGTATGTTTCAGCTGCCTGGAGATGTCCGGGAAACTTCTCCTACCAGTCAAGGGCACTTAACTCTGTTAAGTAAAGGTATTTGAAGTTGAACATGTTCATGTCCATCTGTTATTCACTTAAACAATCGTTTACACCCGTTCTCATTTTGACTAAAAGTGAAAGCCCAATATGTGAACAGAAAATAAAACGTCTTGCAACGGTGTCATTTCTGCGGCAACCCATTCCTTCTTTTTCAACTGTCTGAAATGTTGTTTTTTATCAGCATTTTCAAGAAACATTTGACAGTTAAATCCCACGCCTATTAATGTCTTATGGCCAGCCCCTAAGTAACTGAAATTCGGGAATCCCAGTTGCACAGACCGATGCTGATAATCTGATCACTGGATTGTCTGGTACAGACTTGATGATTTACAGACCGCCGCCATATAGCTGGAATATTGCTGAGTGCGGCGTTAAACAACAAACAAACAAAAACAAAAACCCTCAGCAGCCGATGAAACTTGGCAATATGCTCTTTCCCCATGTGCAGCAGGATTCACAGTGGCTATCATTTAACTTCCAGAAGAACAGGACACAGGTGTATGAAGAAGCTGACGAATTAGCGGTTAAGAACCAGCATATTGTATGGTGTGGATGCAGGTGATGTGAAAGGTGGCGCCGTCAATCCAGGATTTGGACTGGAAGGCGACAAAAACCCAATACACACAGACGTTTGCAGTGTACAACTGTTGCATGAACTATATTGCTTAAAGATTGACAATCTTCACCATAACGTGGTACTAGAATAGTGTCTTGAGAACAGTACTTGGCTGCTGGGGACATGCATACAACATACTGCCCGGTTGTTACATTTATTCGTGGAATAATTGTATTTAACTTGCCATACTAGTGTTGTGCTCCTTCAGTTGAATGCAGATAGTTAACACAAAACAAATGTTCATTATGGAACAGAAATGATCGTAGGTTTCTTGGAGGATTATGTAAACAACAGTACTGACAATGATCTGAAGCCCTTAAGACGACACATCAAGAGCATTATATTATGCTCTTCAGTAAACGTTTCCTGAAGGTTGTATTGTTTTTGATGCGACATTAGCACATTGTTACCATATTTATGCCAAAGATGACAGTGTTGACTCCTTGTTCTCCACATATTTATATTTGGATTATCTATTTGACAATTGTTAAGACTTTCTGTACGTGAGCAATAATTTATTGTGTAATTTATATTAGTTTGCAAATATGTACCCAGTTTGTTTTAAATATTTATTTTCTTGAGTGATTTGATTAAAGTGTATTGTCAAATTAATGCGTTTTGTTATTACAGTTAATATATTTTGCAAGTATATCTTTCGTATGTGATAAATTCTGTGTTGATATTTACGTGAATATAGACACAGAAAATCAGTTTTTGTTGTCAGTTCATGAATAGGTTGATGTAATACAGAAACAGTTCTCAAAGTGCATTTAGTTTACGATTAGTTCACCAAGTTAGTCCTTGTTTAGTCAAAATAGTAGCTGCTAAAATGTTTCAATAATGATAAGATGGTAAAAGAAGCAACACCACTATTTTGATGAAAAATGAAACATATAGGATTTATTGTAGCTGAATGGAGACTTTGGCATGTTTGAATTTTGGCAATATTCCAGCAGTATAACGAAGTAATTAATCGAGTCAGGGCTGTGACTGATTCCATTAACAACGATCTGCCCAACTGGAATGCCATGGAATGTATTAACTTTGTAACCGAGCCTGGCCAACCGATCTCGTTAGTCGCTTCCTACGACAAGCACCTGTTTATTGTGATGATGATGGTTTGCGGAAGATCCGTTCTAACTCTGACATCCAGTTGTTCTTTAACCAATACTGTTCGTTCAAATGGCGTTGAAAAGGACGACAGAAAACCGTTGTCAAGTATGCTTTGGATACCACAAAATGTCTTGTATTTGATTTTTTAAGAAAAACCGTTTGATCTTGTACCACTTTAGGTGTAATTAAATAACGTTTGACCTTCAACTTGTTTTTATAGAGATAAAGAACGCTTGCTTTCTACTATATTTCATGACAAAACACATGTGAGTACAGCAAACTGCATACTGTTTTGAGATGTCGAATGTATGGCAAACTTTGTGTTTTAATGGAGATGTATTCATCGTCAAACTGTTGTGGAGTTAGTCCAAAATACCCTTGAATTCCTTTGGTGTTTCAGTTCTCTCGTCAAACGAGCATAGGTTCCAAATTTGTGTTTTTGAGAAGAAAGGGTTCACCCACCATCTCTTTGTCTGCTATTTACAGCCTTTTAGCAAACAAAGTAATTGTCTCATACTTGTTGCAGTACTCGCACCCATTGATGTCGTTCAACAATCATCCTAACACATGTCGCTTCCAACCGACCTGAGTTAGACATATATAGACATATTTCACATAAATACCTGTGTATACTCCAAAATTACAACACGCTCTCCACAGGATTGTAGGAAAAGAGGAATTGCTTCAGCTTTCAGGGTTAAAGAACGATTTTTTAAAAGTTTTAAGGTAACCATGTGGAGGTCATTTCAAAATGTGACACATTTGTGACATAACTAATGCCATAATGAATTCTCTTAGGCGATTTGTATCTTTAATCCCGAGTTGTTTAGGTGACTTGTATCTTTAATCCCGTGTTGTTTTAGGTGACTTGTATCTTTAATCTTGTGCTGTTTTAGGTGACTTGTATCTTTAATCTTGTGTCATTCACCTGCATGTGCATGTCATTATGGCGAGAGCCCCCGTGTGGAGGTGAAAAACGCTGTCCTTTTCGTGACCATCTGGTGTCAAGTCTTCGACTTACTTACGATATAGTCGAAATGGTAATACATAGGTAATATCAACAAACAGAATATATGTATGCCTTTAACAAAAATATAAAGAAGTGATTAATTATTCATTACAAATAAGACTGTTCACAACATACTTGGCACGTGAAATTTCAAAAGTAACATAAAACGAAATTACTTTTGGGAACGTTGTAATGAACAGAAAGCTTAAAAATGGTCAAAAAATAATTTAAATTAACATTTTATTAACAAAAAAGTGTCTATTTTTTCAAAACGTTCTTAAACATGAGTATTTACTATTGATATATCAACTGTAGGGTCTTTCACTGTAGGTAATACGTATTATATCATTGTTTTATATAAATCAATGAACGAAATTATCAAATAGCCTACAGTTTCAGAGTGACACAAATAAGTTTAATTACACGTAGAGTTTTAGGTTCTTGTGCTTTGGGATTAGTTTCCAAAACACAACGTTGATATTTTCAAAAGTGTTTTGACTGACTTAAGTAAATCACAAACAGTGTGTACATGTTGCCAAAACGCCACAGATATCCTTTACAGCGTTGAGCGTTTGATATGATGTGTGCACTTTCTTTTTTGCGTCAGTTTACTGTCAATATGCACAATCAACAGAAGACATATTTTCACAGCTTTATAAAGTACAGTCATTCTTAATGGAGCACAGGCAACCAGCATAAAACAATGCACTAATGAATTGGGAAACCACTTAGCAAGGACAGAGAGATATAGTTCGAAAATGCATTGGAAATTGTCATAATTCATACAATCCTCTTCTAGTTTCAAATTCTCTTCCACACAAGTCTTAAAAATGTGTTACAAACTCTTCCGGTTCAGAGGTCCTAGCGTCTATCGGTTCAAATCCTTGATTAATGGTGCCACCTTTCAAGTCACCTGCTTCCGCGTCACGGGATGGTTTCATTTCAACGCCGTTGTCATCGACTGGCTGGATCTTTTCTGGTAGCTCGTCAGCTTTCTCATACACCTTATTCCTGTAGTCCTTTAAGTTAAAAGAAAGAAACATATTACATACTTATGCATTATATACTTATATACTCCCTGTAGCTTTCACCCTGTCCCCATTTGTTACAGAAATCTTATGACCAACTTTGAAGGACATCTCCCCCTTCAAACCCCCATGCTGGTACAGAAAAGTAGGTGACACCTTCACCATCCCAGACAAAGACCAGGACCCCGAAGCCCTACTTTACCACCTCAACCTACAACACCATAGAATCAACAAAAATCACCACCAATTAGCCTTCCTCAATGTACAAAGTCAAAACAACATCCACACTGTCTACCGTAAACCAAAATCACACGTACCAGTACATTCACTACCTGTCAAACTTAAATCATGCCAGGGTATTGTGCAGGAAACTGAGGCACCGTAAGTCCCCATGATCCCCAAAGAGGCGGAATGGCTTCTTGGTATCTGGTGGCTGATATAGACCGTGTTATGTTCAAATATGAATGCACCGAAGTTGCTTTTAAGTACAACTTTATATATATAATAGCTTTGTACATATGTCTAAGCTTGGTACCGTGGCTATTTCGCTGAAGTGATGCCGATTCTAGAATTTTACTCACTAATCAGTATTTTCAGTAAGAACTGTTCGTCCTTGGGTGTAGAGTGTCATTCAATCCTCGCGTCCAAGAAATGAACTTGCTCATGTGTGGACATTAAACACCTAACTGAATGACTGTATGCATAATGCATTAAATAGCATGTATGTGGGACCTACCACATTGTGGTTGACTCCACATCTGAGAGGTCTGAGTATCATCTCCGGCATACAGGGGAAGAGGCGGTCAAACAGAGGGCAGATCAGGCGAGGGTCCATGGTATGTGGGTCCCTGCAGCCTATAACACGAGTAGTAATAACGGTTTTTTTATATTACTTCTATTTACTAATATTACCGTACCACCTGTGAAATAATTCAGAAAGAAGGTACTGTTAAACAGATTCTGGTACATACTGTACAAGTATTTATTTAATATTACTCGTCAAGGAATAATATTGGTCTTTAGTTGATACATAGAAGTTTCTTACATATATTAATCACAGGAAGTGTCGACATGTTTAGCATGTACAATATATTTGATAAACAGCTACTAAATATCTTTAGTAGCATACCAGTGATGAGGCTGACGAACAGTGCGACGATGACGAGCACTGCCATCGCCGTCGGCGTGTATAAGAGATAGGACAGCTTGTACATCGGTATGAACGGATCACTGGAAGGTAGAAATACATCAGTATGAACAGATAAAGGTAGAAATACATCGTTACGAACTGATCGCAGGAAAGTAGGAATACAGCCCTATGAACTGATCACATGGAAAGTAGGAATACATCACTATGAACATATCAGATAAAAGTAGGAATGCATCACTATAAACATATCACAGGAAAGTACTAGGAATACATTGATATGAACTGATCGGTGGTAAGTAGGCATTAATAAATCGGCATGTAGTCACAGGGAATACAGCGCTATAAACTTATCAATGGAAAGTAGGAATACATCACTATGAACTTATCAGAGAAAAGTAGGAATACATCGCTATGAACTGATCACAGGTAAGTAGGAATACAGCGCTATGGACTTATCAGAGAAAAGTAGGAATACATCACTATGAACATATCAGAGAAAAGTAGGAATACATCGCTATGAACTGATCACAGGTAAGTAGGAATACAGCGCTATAAACTTATCAATGGAAAGTAGGAATACAGCGCTATAAACTGATCAGAGAAAAGTAGGAATACATCACTGTAAACTTATCAGAGAAAGGTAGGAATACACCACTATGACCTGATCACATGACAGTAGGAACACATCACTATGAACATATCAGAGAACAGTAGGAATGCATCACTATAAACTTATCACAGGAACGTACTAGGAAGTATTGATATGAACTGATCGGTGGTAAGTAGGCATTAATAAATCGGTCTGTAGGGATCACAGGAAAGAAATACATGTAGGAATAGTACGATTACACTGGTATGAACGGAAACTTGTACATGAGCATGAGATATATATTATATGCATGATACGCAACAGAATATTGGGGATTTTGCAATCTTCGATAATAATGCTGTCTGAAATTTAAAGATAGTTGGGTTGTGTGCAACAAGGAATTGTCAGTTAAGGAGTGAATAAGTGCGGTTTAACTCCCCTTCTAATATTTCAGCCCATCTGATTCCTATATTTTCATCACAGAAAGAGAAAATCAGATACAAACCGATCCTATACTGTGTACCTTGACGCTGCAACCGTAGTCATCTCGGAGGAGCCTGATGTTGTAGTCCCTAACGTTGTCGTGACAGTCATTGCTGTCGTCGTGACGGACCAATTGCAGCCATGAGTAAAGACAGGGGATAGTTTGGCAGTGGAAACCCTGTTGACGAATGCACAGAATCCGATCCAGCACATGAAGGCTAAGGAGGTCACAGTACCAACAAGAGCTCCCTAAAATGTATGAATATTCAATATTACTACTTTCATTTCAGCATGCCCAAGTCTTGAAGAAGAACCTCACACCTCACAAACTTGCACCAAAATGAAACAAGTTTCTATAATTTTCTTACAACAAACATATATATGAATAAAAAACTTATACCATTCTCTGTATAAACAATGAATGTCAGATTTAACTAAATAAACTATTTGACGCTATGGTTGAAACCAAATTTGTTGTGCTGTTATACTTTCTATATGTTTCACTAATGTTTTATATTAAATTCTATTATATATATTATATTTTTAGCATAATATTTACATGATAAATGGGGTGTATTATCAAACACTGAGATGTATAAAGAAACTATTTACTTCCAAATTAAGATGTGTGTTATTACATTCTCTTCATTTTATAACAAGTAGTGCTTCCCCAAACTCTCAGAATCTGTAAAAATAAGTCACACCTCATCGAAAAAAAATAATTTAATGACATTTTTTCAAAGCTTAAATGCGAAAAGGATATGTATATTTCTTGTGCCAGGATGTTTTGACGTTTCTAATTTGAACAATTTTAAACAGTGAACTTGGTCTCGCACAAGGGACCCGTACAACAGAGCGGTCGTGCCGCTACGACTCTCGGAAGTTCATGTTAAAGTGGGGAAGTTACGATCATGAAGGTTCTACGTCAGCTTCTTGGAACAAACCCCAGATTTAGACCAGGTAACACTGCACGATAAGTTCAGGTCCTCCATATGGAGTCAGCTTTGTGGCTACACTTACCCATGCGTTTGCCCAAGGGAAGAACATGCCCAGAATAAACAACCCGAACAACGGTCCATTGAGAATGCTGTACACGCTGTAGGCAGACTGGGAATAAACAGGTATATTATTCAAACAGGCATTAGTGTTGTAACGATAGTTAGTTTGTTTGAAAACTAGACTGGAGTGTATAATAACTGACTCACACCACACCAATACACCTTCAGCCGTTATCGACGGTCTTACAACATGGCTTTCGTTCCTTGCTCATGCTATCAGACACTAGTTTGATTGTCCATATTCGATTATTTACATTACGCTGTGGCAACGAAAGTCGTTGGCTGGTGACATTGTTCAAACCAGAGTCATCATGATGCATTGGGGATCAGCTCTGACCCTCAAGCTTTCCATGAACTCTTGGGGCATATATTGGCATCTTGTCTTATAACAAATACTTTGTTACACTAACACTTCCAACATCCAGTTAAAATTGGCACTAAAAGTGTGTCAAGTTACCTGCATCACAGACCCAAGTTGAGACACGAGGACGGCGAGACCGATAGCAACTCCCCCAAATATGAAAACTACAAAAACACATATGTATATATTAGAGGCTGTACACACAGGTACCTGTGGTAATTTATACGTTTTCTATATCACAAATAAAAAGTTATTGTAAAGTTTAATATGATCACTGAGATACAGTTAGTAACTGAGTCTTGTTTATTTGGGCTGCATTTAGAATCATTTCAACCGCATCTTTACACACAAGAAATAGGTTCAGAGTAGCATAAACGTGTGAGGATTTGAACATTTGACATGCAAACCATAAGGTCGATAACATAAGGTGTTGTTTAAGCGATTACGTTCAAAAGCCATTACGTCCCACGTCCGGTGTTTTTTTCTAGACCTAACACTTTGATCGAAGACGGACCTTCGAAGTGTCATAACGCTGTGAGTGATAGGGCACGTTATGATGGTAAATTGTGGTTAAAGAAACTGCATCATGGTATAAAGTCTCTCTTTAAGTACTAAAGTAAAGTATAAAGTAACTTCTTTGAGTGGCATTTTAGAAGTTGGAAGTACAATATATGGAACAAACTTTATGGATAACAACTTCTTTTATTTCGTGAGTGCGACGTTTCGATTCAGATCCTTGTACTGTTGATTCTTGTGCCTGCTTGACAACGGTACAAGGATCTATATCGAAACGTCCCACTCACGAAATAAGTGAGTGAGCATGAACATCGATCTGCGTAATTGGGAACCGATGACATGTGTCAACCAAGTCAGCGAGCCTGACCACCCGATCCCGTTAGTCGCCTCTTACGACAAGCATAGTCGCCTTTTACGGCAAGCATGGGTTGCTGAAGACCTATTCTACCCCGGATCTTAGAGAAATAAGAGAAGTTGTTATCCATAAAGTTTGTTCCACATACTTATTGTACTTTAAAGTATATTACGCTTTAGTTGTCCCCGGAAAATCGTAAAGACAACATATTTGAAGAAGCAAAATATTAAATTCCTACTTACCTACAACCTTTGATAGAATGGTGATGGACTTATCAGAAATGTTTGGGCAGCAGTACGGCTTGATGATGTCCCTAGGGATGATGGCTCCCAGGGCGTTCAGGGAGGATGATATGGTGCTAAGGAAGGAGAGACAAGGGCGGGATGAAACATGTAAGAAACGTAGTGATTGAACGATGATTGTGTGCACTGACATCCGCACAAGTGATTATCAGAGGATTGTCAGATGGTCACTGAAGTATGTCAGATGTAGAATTCTTCATAGAGACTACTTGCATTGCAGCTAACAGTAGTATGCTTAGTGCCTGTCGAGAACCGACCCAGGTGGAAGCAAGGTACATGCAATTAGACTCACGCCTGGATACACACATCTCTCTCAAGTACGATAGGTGACAAACAAGTTGAGAGCCTAACAAAATAAGTGGACAACGGGATGTGGTTAATTTCGTTGGTGGACTGATCAGCAGTTTTATTGAATATTTTAACTTCAAATTACACAACAAACAATAGTGTGATAAAACAAATACCGTTTGCTCGAAAATGTACACACAGTGACAATAACGACTAACATGTTTTCTGCTGATATTATGACACGGTTCGTGTCTGTGGATTGTTATGCAAAAAGGATCAACACCACGGTTTGTCCGGACACAGACTGCAAGCACTTTGGTGAATGCCCCGAGCATGTTATGGTGCAGACAAACAACCTAGAAACAGCCAGGCTGGATATGTGCTTCGAACTCACGACCTTAGATTTCTGGCACGCGTAACTCCGCACAACGAGCTGCGTCTCCACAAAAGTTCCCATCGAGGGCACGTGGCCATGGAATATTTGTAATGGTTCCCTTATTTGTAACAGTTTACTCAAATGACCCCAAATACTGTTGAGATACTATTTTTTAATAAATACACAGTAGTTAAAAGAGGCTGGTGGTGTGAAACAGGGAATCAGCTGAAACCAGTATTGTTTAAACCTGCCTGTGTTGATTCAACATTATGGGAAATTAAAATAGTCATATTGTACATTAAATAACACTAAAGATACAGGACTATTGTGCAGAGGTGTTGACACCCTGCATTCAAGTTTCTAATGTTTCTTAAAATACTTTGGTAGATACAAATTCAAGCTACTATGACTGATTTTATATTGTGAAAAATTGTAATACAAGGAATTACCTCAAACTTCCGCTGAAGAGAGACGACACAAACACTCCTGGTAATCCGGGAACATGGCCCAAAATATCCATTACAAAAAAGGGCAGGAGCTGAATTTGTAAAATATATAATAAAGCAAGAAATATTAGTTTAAACTTTCTATTTTACAATTTTGCAATTTAATGTTCTTGCTGCATAGTTCAGTGATATATATTCTGTGAATTTTCTGTACGTGACAAGTATACAGTCGTTATTCGCTGACTTTCAGGTATCTATTCACCCACTGTATATTCCGTGTATTCAACACGAAGCTGTTTTGGTAGATACTCGGGGAAGTTATTATTCTCTGGCTTTGACGTGTAATATTTCAATTCTTGACATGTATGAAAACTGCTCTGACATGAGCATACAATTGCATACAATTTATCAATAATCTCTATTGGTCTATGTCTATGTATATATAGCGCTACTTCAAAATTGTTGATCGTATAACTGAGGTCATTTACTGTCTGAATTACTAGCCTTTATGATTTCAACTCACGTCCTTCTGTGAATCAAAACCACATGTAAATATCTATGTGGCCGAGGTATTGACCTTACTGTAACTGGGTCAAGTATATTTTATTAACATTAAACCATTTTTGTGTTATTTGGCTGAAAGTATCCAAAAGAACTCTGTGGCACCTTTAATGTCTTTCAGCCGTTTATGTAAAAAACATCGATTGACGTTCAATGCCAGTTGACAAATCCTCTAGCTGTCTTCAGTGTTTCTGACTGAGGTCTTTTTGCACTATTTGTTAACATGACTTGAAGACGGGGTGGGTGGGGTATGGGGTGGGAACAATTCTGGGTTTTAATACCACTAACTGGTATTGACGAGAGTTTTGACGACATATATTGAAGCTTGGAGTTAACGATTTTATATTACTAATATGTCTTAGTTATGATTTGACATTTTACCAGTATGTAGACAAACAGCTGTTATTATCGGTATGTCAAGAAAGGGATGACGTATTAAAAAGTGTGTTGACAAAGTGTTGATTTGTTACCAGTGTCAGTAGATATTGTGTCGACGGGTGACCGGTGTGTTAAAATATTGCGTTATATTACCAGTGTGAAGAAATAAAGAGGTGAGGTTACTGGAAACGCGTATATTTAGTTGTTTGATAGCACCGTTCATTGGACTCCCCTGCTACAGTACCTGATCTGAGTTGGTGATGAGGTTGTTGAATGCCATGGGGTGACAGTCGGCGTAGAAGGCGTACATGACGATGCCGATCATGCAGCACAGGCTGACGATGAGCATAAGACCAGGCAAGGATACAAAGAATGCCCTTTGAAATTAACGAACATTATTAAACTGAGTGAGTGAGTGAGTATGGTTTTACGCCGCTTTTAGCAATATTCCAGCAATATCACGGCGGGGTACACCAGCAATGGGCTTCACATATGAACAATATTAAAAGGTTCGTAAACAGAACATGGAATACGTTATGATTCTTTTTTTAAAGAGAAACATTGCATACGTCCGCAAAATAGGATCTTTAAGCTTTTAGCAGATATTTCTTCATTATTTTTAAAACGCGTTTTGTTGCTGTTACATATAGATAATGTTAGATCACTGCTTTTAGCAGAGATGTTTTTACTATAGAAAGAGTAATGTTACTTTCCCAAAAACAACAAATTACTTGACCAAATTGTTCATATTGCATTTCCGGAGCACAATCAATTGAGCTAAATCTGTCGGAGAACATGTGTACATTTATCAACACTTATGTTTAACAGATCAAAGATCATATCGTAGGTGTCTTGTTGCTTCTATGATCGTTTGTAAATAAAGTTCGAAATGACAAAAACACAATCCACAAGAGGAATGCCTTCAACTTCATACTACTCACCTTTCATTTTATGTCAAACAATATTACAGTAGCCTTTTGGTGTTCAATTGTTCAATTTCAACTATTGAAAGGTTCTATACGAAACGTGGAGAAGGTGGAGAATGTTCGATGGGTTTGATTCCCGGGCCCACTTGCACAGAACGATCTTAGCGCTACAATTATTGTAAATCCTTAAGATAGCGATCTTAGGCTACGGCTACAATCGCCATCCACTTGCACAAAGCAAATGTAGGCTAAGATCATTGTAAGTTATTTTCCGGACCAATTGTAAGGAGATATGATCATTGTAGTGGCGTTCACGGTAAGGTCTGTTTCATGCAAATAACCAGCTTGATTTGTATCTGTCCATTCCGTGCCCATGTATAAGTCTCTCTTTCTTCAGGTGAAGAATTGACTTGTCTTTGCATGTGTTTGTGACGTGTACCGACAGTGGGACAGAATAAGCTCACCTTATCGCGAACACCTCGTAACAGCACTGTTTGATTTATAAACAAAATTAATAATAACGCTGGATCGTAGCATGGACATTTATTATGATTACGGGAAAGAGTTTAGCTGCATATATCTTAAATAGAACCAAACGCTTTTCATTTTAGTAACTTGGAAACACTATAAACACGAAAAAACATTGACATATTGGTAACACAGTATTTTGCACTCACAGCTGGGCTTTAGACACAGATGGACAAGACAGGGCTTTCTGGACCTGAGCCTGGTTAACTCCGTACAGTGACGTCCAGAAAAAGGACCCGCCGATTACAACCGACCAGAAAGAGTGACGGGTAGTGGGGTCAAAGCTGAAGCTGAAACAAAGACAATACATGAGGTCGGTGGACTATCTACACAACTACCGATGGATATCTAATGAGAGATGCTTCTACCAACAACCATACGTACTCGTGGAAGTAAATCCTTGATCTGTTCCCGGCGATGTCCCAGGCGTTCTGGAAGCCACCCATGACGATGGAACCCTGGATGAGAACCGCCAACAGCCCCGCCATAATAACCAAAGCCTGGAAGGTGTTTGCCCACAGCACTGCCTTCATTCCTCCCTAGAACACAGAGGTGACTGGTGGAACAGATGTTACAGAGGTGCGTGGTGGAATTGGGTTTAACGTCGTGATTGAGAATATTTCGCTCATATGACGACGTGTATGCGTGTGTATGTGTATGTGCGGCTGCTTGTACTAGCCCAGACGTAAGCTGGTTTTATAGTGCTAGCCCACTGAGATACCATGCCGCAGTGAAGCGTGAATATCCCACACAGACACATTATTCTGACTCTGAGCCGACCAGTCCTTGTTGTACCCATTACTGCCGAGCGCCAGGCAGGGACCAACAAGTACCATATTTAAACGTCTTTTGGTATGACGCGGCCGGGGATCGAACCCGCGACCTTCCGCTCTCCGGGCGGACGCTCTAACCACTACACCACGGAGGCGGTAAGCTTCATTAAAAACCAGTATGTAATTACTGGGTATTCAAATACGTCCATCCCTTCAAGTATGCTCAGGAGCTAAATTATTACCCTAACTAACCTTATTACCCAAGTCGATTAGCAGTTACGGTGCTCCATCCCATTCTATAACATTGTACTAGGCTTCAGAAGGTGTTTTACTTTGGGGCGGAGGCAAAGCCTTCAAAAGTCCCATGAAATACGCTGCTGAATACAATTACTATATCCAACTTCTCTCCACGATTAACATCTCCAAAACAACTTCTCCAGGTTTGTAACCAGTTCGATGTAGACATATCACCACAGTATCAGGTGATACTGAACTTCACACAGTGTATACATGGCGGGGCTCCTACCTCCGGTGTTATGAGTAAAAGATTTACACCCTTCATATGGCGCGCGTGATATGAATGAAAAAAATGTGTGACACGTTTACTTCGAATGGCAATGGTTCTAATGTATCATAAAAGGGTCGTGTTGGCTGCTTTACGCTTTCTGGCCATGATGATGGAGAAAGGTTAGAATTTGTCTTCGGCAACCCATGCTTGTCGTAAAAGGCACTCGGTTGGTTGGTGCATGTCATAGTATCTCAACTGAGTAGATCAATGCTCATGAAACCAATCACTGGTTGCCTATTCGAATATTTGATGAATACCGTAATATGGCTATAATATTGCTGAATGCGGCGTGAAACATGCAACACACGCACGCACGCACATTCATACATATGATGACTTTCAGTTTACGCCTCATGCATCACCCTTGTACAAAGCTGTCAATATTTTAACAACGCAAACAAAAGGCGACTTACCAGAGCTGTATACAACGTCACCACGATCCCAACAGCTGATACGGATCCCCACAGATCAAATCCAGTCACTCAAAGAAAATCAACAAAGCGTCTATATATTTCCTCAAACAGATCAAAATACGCTTGAATTATTCCACAAGCAGGAATAAATTATTTGCATATTATGAATATAGATATCTGTTGTAACTAGTATATTTAGTTTAGTTAAAGTTTTATCTTTCATCAATAATAAATATAAGTAATAATAAAAATATATCATTTAACCACGAAGTCATACATTTCATGTCATATATTTTAAGCGCATTAAATCTTCATATGACCTTTCGTAAACATACCCGCATTCAGAGCCAGGGAAGGAGCGTAGAGGACGAACGACATATACGCACTCTGTAAATATAATCACATTGAAATACTATTGCACTGTCTCCACCACATAGCTGGAATATTGCTGGAATATTGCTGATTGCGGCTATAAACAACAACGTTGTACTGAATCCGAATGCAGAAAACAAAAACAGTAATGCATGAAACCGGCGCGAAGCAAGCCATTGTTTCGTGTAAGCCCGATAGGTCGCAAAGCTTTATATTAAGATAGTATGGAGGGCTTGCCCAGCCTTTTAAGCAACAACCATGTGTAATGGTAGCTACGCCCCTGTTAAATCTTCCTTGCTTCGCGTTCTTTTTTAATATTTCAACAATAACCAATTATTCTAAACTATGAAACACTGGCAGTTGTTTTACTAATATTGTAACCAAGTATGCATCATTTTAAGACGTAGTCATCAGAATCATCGACATTTGCAGCATCACGTCGCCTCTAACCCCAAAATACCAGCATCAGTTCCCATCGACGGCATACAGTAGCCATCAAGTGTTTTGACAACCTCACCGACATCTTGAAGTAACCAGCGAATTATATCTAGTCAGCTATCTACCGTGGGCCCATTCGTCAACATGTGAACGAAACTTTGTGTGGGGTTGGTGAGAAGAAAGCTGGACCTCATGACGTCACTTCTGACATGAAGAGGAGGACAGTGTATATATCACAATGGAATGGACATATGATGCTTTGGATTATCAGGGATACTTTCCAGATGCTAATGTAATCTGTACACCAACATATGAATTATCGATACATCCTGTCACCTCATGTCACCTGTCCTGAATGTTGAAGACACTGTGGACTTACTGTTTGCAGAATGTAGATCAGGGAGGCGAGATCACGGACAGGCTTGCTGAAACGCAGCTCAAGATACTGAAAACACAGAATTATTTATTCGGAATACGTTCTTAAATGTTTTCATGGTTATGTCATAATCTTCGTAACCATATATAGTGACGAAGTGATTGAACAATTATTGAACATTGTAACCCATGCATATTAGATGCCGACATGTGGAACGTGCACAGACTGCACATGTCGAAATCCGTGGTTTTGCTTCTGGACATGCCCAAAAGGGTGTGTTTGGGAGACACTTTTCACCAAGTATACAATAATTGTTCAAATGAACATTTTCATCATTCGTATCATCGTACACTAGCTGAACTTGAACATTGTTCTGTTAGCAGTCAAAATATTTAGTCTGCTTAACTGTTTCCCAGGTGTATATTATGCATGAGTTCATGTTACGCAGGTATGTTGGTTGTCGACAGTTACGACATGAATGACTGATGACACCGATGTACGCGGCCCCACCTGATATCATCTCCATTTGATGGTGAGTCATAAACCCATGCTTATAATAAGACGGTTTTCGTATAGTTTATTCTTTTGATTATGTCATTCAAAGTCTATTTGCGACTTTTATTCACGTTATAATATGCTACCAGCATAAACTTTGATTCATGAGAATCTTTGTTGCACATATATGAAAATGTGTACACACTTTGTCCATACAGGTTTCTGATGGTCAAGCCATGATGACGTCTAGTGCATATGGGTTTAGTCCACTTTCAGCAATATTCCAGCAATATCACGGCGGGTGAAACCAGAAATGGGCTTCACACATTGTACCCATGTCGGGAATCGAACCCGGGTCTTTGGCGTGACGAGCGAACTCGTTAACCCATGATGACGTCTATGCGCACTTTTCATTTATCGTGGTCTGTTACAAGAATAAAACAGTTACGATTATTTATGGAAAAGGAACTACTGGACAACTAACTCACCTGAAATACACTTGTCACTTGCAAGTTATAGAAGAATGGGGTGAATACAACTGAGGCCAAGACCATTGCACAAACAAATGCAAGACATAACCACCAAAACATCGTCGTGTAGTTGTACATCTCAGCGGGCGTTCCCAGCAACGTCAGTGCAGACAAAAACGTCACCAGCAGCGACATCGCCACTGGAAGGACATACATATCTTTACCTCCAAAAAGGAACTCCTTAGAATTAACATTGTTTCTGTCTTTGATTGCAAAGAAAAGTCCGATCCCAGCCGATACCGCCAAGGTGAGACTGAAAAGGACATAGTCGGGGATAGTGAAGGTCTTCTTCTGTCCAGTGTAGATGCTGTAATCCCCAGACATGACGGAGGGTAGTTGTGTCCACGCTGGTGACAGGGGAAACACTTTATCGTGTTAGTTTTCTCTCTCACTCTCTGTGTAGTCGGCTGTTAACTTTCCCTTTGTTAGTCTTCTCCGGCGACTGTGAGTTCTTGTGAACTGCAACTATACCTGTATGGCAAGTTATATAGGTAAGGCTGTCACCGTTCTCGTTGAGGTAAAGGTGTTTGATTTATGCAGCTGCAAACAACCGAACTCTTTCCAGTGTCACAGTAAATCCCTTCTGACAGCAGGGACGATTGTACAATTCCAACTGTACGATCCCATGCGTTTATCATATAGTGATCATAGCACTATAGGTGAGCGTATCCTGACCTTGGCATGGCACCCGTCACAAGCACAAATGGTTTGGTAGAATTGCACATAATGAACGTTGCAGTGCACAGGTAAATTCCGGTAATATCGGCTTTCACTTTTTATGATTCTAATTTGACAATGGGAAAGTAGAGCAGACATGAATGAGTGAGGTTTATTGTATTTGGAAGCAAAACTCACAAAACTATGAGGATACTTTACATTACTTCTTTACTTGTCCTAATTGTTCTAACATCAGACATCGCATGTATTTTTACGAACATGGATTTAATTTAAATTCTGTCCTAAATGGTAATCCAAACAAAAATGAACTTTTTAAATCTTTCATACTACAATCTGTCCATACTTTTATAATAAAATCGCATAGGTTTGATAAATGATTAATAATGTTTAATACGCAGGTTGCTTGCTTTCCTATCATGCTGCATATTATTTAATATTTGTTTTATTCATGTATCAATGAAATGGAGAGGTATTCAAATAAGCCATTGCGGCTTATTTACCAATCCTATTTCAATTTATTTTGAATAAAATATGTTTTCACTAAAACTCACTTCTGCACAAACGTGTACTTAATTCTTTCAGTAACAATTCCTTTGTGTTGTTTAGAATTCATCTGGTTTTAATTCCACTTGTCTCAAATATTCTCTTGGAATATAAAGAACATACTTCCTTGAGTGTATAAAGGATTTGTATTATCTTTGCAACAGGACTGTGGTGGTACATTTGCTGGACCCAGCATTACGTCTCTGAGGGCGTCTTGAATACACCGGCCATACTGCAGTCAGTAATTCAACGCGAAACGTTCATGTGAACCGTGCAACCATGCTCTTAAGACGTCTTCATTATGTTTTATCATGTAATGGAGGGTGTTATCGGTGCAATAAAGCAATCTCATAAACTTGGTATCCAAATCTGATAAATATGCAAATTAGGTCAATACAAGGACTACTTTCACAAAACTCCATAAACGCCATGTGAATCCTACTACGTTAATATTTCATTGATTACGTCGTCGCGAGTTTACAGGGTTATTTCCATTGCGTGGGCGAGTTTATATACAAACATGGCTGTCTCCATGATCAAAATTAGGGATTCTGTAATAATTGATGACAATGGTTCTCGAGTCGTTACTGCAGTAACTGACTTTGGAAAACATGAAACGGACTACTTCGTTCAAATTGAAGGTATGGATTATGAGGCACGAGTGAAAGGCGATCGTCTAAGAAAGGTACCAACCAAGAATTTCGATATATCGATCACAACAAAGCAGACGACGAATCGATGCCGTCAGTGATCACTCGTGAAATCTGCCTGACATAAAAATGTATTATGTTCGCCAAAAGCTCGCATAATACATGTTTTATTCCCAATATATGATATTAATGATACGGAAACACACTCGGTTAATAATCTCTATTTATGTTTATAAAAGGTCAGGTTAATTATATTTTGGTTGGCTTTTTTACAGCACCGTGTAAACATTAGTTTACTACCTTACGCAAATCTCAGTATTTCATATTAACTGATATACAACGGAATCTGGACCTGTCGATTCACTGGATCACAACATGAGTCTCGATCTGCGCAGGCGTGGCCTATTGACATGCATCAATCAAGTCAGCAGACTGAACCTGAATCGTCTTTCATCTGACCAATGTATTCTTCACCAAGTCCTCAGATTTCAACGTTGACGTGGTAGACACCAAGCCAAACGTGATATGGGTGATGATCGCTCAGTTTGATAACCCTTTGACGTGGTAGACACCAAGCCAAACGTGATATGGGTGATGATCGCTCTGTTTGATAACCCTTTGAAAGTTGTACACAGCCCTCCTAGGCCAATTCGGACTGTTCTCGTTGAGACTCGAAAAATGGTAAACAGGGGTGCTTCAGAAAAAGTGCTTGTGGCCAGTGGTTTTCGTCGAGTGAGCCTCAATATTGTTCTGTCTTCAAGATCTTACGTCACCCTGGGTCGTCCAGAACGTGGGCGATCCTTCATCGTGATGTGTGACGTGCACATTCATTTCCTCGACCAATTGCTTTGAATGACATGCCAGAGTTAGGCATACCAATAATTTGCCATCTCTGGCTATCTGATAAGCTTCTTTGTGCAATAGTTGCGAAGTGATTGAAAAATGATTGAACATTGTAACCCATGCATATCAAATAGAGACATGTGGCACGTACACAAACTGCACTTGTGGAAATCCGTGGGTTTGCTTCTGGACATGCTCCAAAGGGTGTGTTTGGGAGACACTTTTCACTAAGTATACTTGCAAGTATTTTTCAAATGAACATTTTCATCATTCATATCATAGAACACAAGCTGAACTTGAACATTGTTCTGTTAGCAGTCACAATATTTAGTCTGCTTAACAGTTTCCCAGGTGTATATTATGCATGAGTTCATGTTACGCAGGTATGTTGGTTGTCGACAGTTACGACATGAATGACTGATGACACCGATGTACGCGGCCCCACCTGATATCATCTCCATTTGATGGTGAGTCATAAACCCATGCTTAAAATAGAGTCGGTTTCGCATAGTCTATTCTTTTGATTATGTCATTCAAAGCTTTTTGTAACTTTTATTCACGATATAATATGCTACCAGCATAAACTTTGATTCAGAAGAATGTCTTTGTTGCACATGTACATACATGTATGTGAAAATAAGTGTACACTTTGTCCATACAGGTTTCTGATGGTGAAGATATGATGACGTCTAGTACATATGGTTTTACGCCGCTTTTAGCAATATTCCAGCAAAATCACGATGAGGAAAACCAAAAGTGGGCCTCACACAGTGTATCCATGTGGGGAATCGAACCGTGTCTTCGGCGTGACGAGCGAACACGTTAATCACTACGCTAACCCACCGCAACTGATGACGTCTATCCGTACTTTTCACTTTTATCGTGGTCTGTTACGAGAATAAAACAATTACGATGTTTGATGGAAAAAGAACTACTGGACAACTAACTCACCTGAAATACACTTGTCACTTGCAAGTTATAGAAGAATGGGGTGAATACAACTGAGGCCAGGACCAATTGCAAAACATATGCAAGACATAACCACCAAAACATCGTCGTGTAGTTGTACATCTCAGCGGGTGTTCCCAGCAACGTCAGTGCAGATATACACGTCACCAGCATTGACATCGCCACTGGAAGGACATACATATCTTTACCTCCCAAAAGGTACTCCTTAGAATTAACATTGTTTCTATCTTTGATTGCATAGAAGAGTCCGATCCCGGCCGATACCGCCAAAGTAAGACTGAAAAGGACATAGTCGGGGATAGTGAAGGTCTTCTTCTGTCCAGTGTAGATGCTGTAATCACCAGACATGATGGAAGGGTAGTTGTGTCCACGCTGGTGCTGGAGTGACAGTATACGATGTTAGTTTTCTCTTCATCTCTGTCTGTGTAGTCGGCTGTTAACGTTCCCATTGTTAGTCTTTTCCGGCGACTGTGAGTACTTGTGAACTGCAACTATACCTGTATGGCAAGTTATACAGGTAAGGTAATTGAATCCGTTCTCAGGTAAAGGTGTTTGATGTATGCAGCTGCAAACAACCAAACTCTTTCCATAGTCACAGTAAATCCCTTCTGACAGCAGGGACGATTGTACAATTCCAACTGTACGATCCCATGCGTTTATCATATAGTGATCATAGCACCTCGCTTTGAGATGGTCCCGTCACAAGCACAAATGGTTTGGTATAATTGCCCAAAATAATTAACGTTGCATTGCACAATGATTCTAATTTGACAATGGGAAAATAGAGCAAACATGAATGAGTGAGTTTTATTTTATTTGGAAACAAAACTCACCTGAATAAGGGTTGTACATTCAGTGAGCCCCTCTTCCTTCCCCAGTCGATTGTTTATTGAAAAGACACTATAGTCCTTCAGTCACATTTTGACGTCACGGACCAGCACGTTTTCCTCGAGTAGCTGCACCAGCATTATTTCAGCTATGTCACCATGACCCGGCTTCGCACTGAGGAGTCCAACGTACTTTAACTTGAAACTAGGCTAAGGGCTTCGTTCCTTTGAAATGTTTGCTATGTTTTGTGAGTGTTTGTATCTTTGCTAACTCTTGGGCCCTTGGAATATTTTTAAGTACTCCTTACTTGCTCCGTACCGATCTCGGCGCTACGACTGTGGTAAATCTATGTTAAAGTATAGGAGATATGAGAGTCGTAGCGCTACGATTGCTTTGTGAAACGCGACCTTGGAGACCAGTTCTAACCCAGATCTTCACGGGTATCGCAGAGTCCAAACGACAGACCCTGCTAAATGTAAAATACGAAGGTGTCAGTAGAGACGACAGACGGAGGGAAGAAACAGGCAGTCTCTTTGAGACGTTGAACTGGCGGCATTACCAGCCACACAAAGTGGAAGGCTCCCGAATGAGAACCCAAAGCAAGAGCTATTGCAGCTCCTCAAAAGGCGAAAACGTGTTGTGTTACATATTCCATTTGTACTTTGATGACATGCATAGTAAAACACGTATTTTAGCTGATGACATTTATGTGCATGTAATCGTATAAGATCGAAACACCACCAAAATGTACTTCATAATATTCGAATTAATCAATCTCAAAAGGCTGATGATAAATGGCAAGTAACAGAAAATCTATT